TCACTACCTCAATCAGATTGTTTATTATGAGTAATGCTACACTTACAAAGAAATTTTACAAAAATCTTCATATAAAGTGATGTGGCAAAAATGAATGGAAGAGTGAATTTAATAAGTTTGACTTTTTGTTTCACTCTTCCATTCATTTTTTGCCACCTCACTTTATATGCAAATCTTTGTAAGATTTCTTTGTAAATATATTATTATTGGTCTATTATATATCTCAAGAAATTTGTAAATGCATCAAACTATATTCTAACATGCTAAAATATTTTTAAAAACTTAATAATAATATTAGATATACAGAGTTGAGATTAAATCTTTAAATCCAACTAATGTGGCGTTTAATGTGTGAACACTATAATTAAATATATGATTTTATATCACATTAGTTGGGATATAAAATTACTAATATGATATAAAATCAAGATCTAATTCCCAATTTTGCGTATTTAGCATACTTAAAACTTTAAGATACTCGATAAATATATACTCAACATTTCAATAATTTTGGGGAACCTTGTCTCTACACAATGCCACTTAGATCAAATGTATATAATTTAATTATCCGGTTTGAATACATCAAATAAATCGCAATTTTTGTGGAAAAATTAGCATAAGAAAAAAAAACTCGAAACTAATTTTTTTAATTTTGATTGTATTATTGTTTTCTCCAGATATTTAAAGGTAACGTATATATATTTATAAAATAAGTAAGGTTTTGAAAACAATCAAAGTGTATGTGGGTTAAAAAAAAAGGTTAAAAGTTTATACAATAAGTTAAAGTTTATAGTTAATAATTTTGAAATAGTGAATATGAGTTGATATTGTTGCGTGGTTCTGTTACCAGCTAGACCTTCTTAAGACAAAACTAGAGCTCATGGAGATCTAACTGTTTCCAGCAATGTCAACAACAAATTGGTAATAAGTTGATATTGTTGAAGAGATTTTGTGCATATTGGCCTTGTGGCGAGAATTCGGTTGGTTTTAAGCTCGTTCAGATTGTTAAGATCAAACGCTTACTATTAGGTTAAAAGCTTAAGCGGTTAGTTATGGTTTAATTTTATTTTCATATTCCATCAATGACAGTATAAAACTTTACACTTGGCAGTAGATGAATGTGAGGACTTTTACAATGCACATATAGGTGGATGCATCGATGAAGTGACACGATTATACATCAATTCCACCTAGACGGTCTCGCTATAGTGTCCACGTTAGCGACTCATGGGGAAACTATTGGCCTTCACAAAGTCAACACGGATTGGTTTTTTCTCATGCCATGTTAAAGGACTTAGAGGGTATTTGTCTAAGCTTATAAACTGGTCAAACTAGTTTATAAACTCTAAAATTAAGTTGACCTATTTGTTTATAACTTTTTTGAACTTATAGGTTGAGCTTATTAAAAAAAAAAAATAAATAAGTTGGAAGAGAGGTACTTTTTATTTTTGGCTTATAAGCATTCTTCTTATAAGTTAGTTTAACCAAATATATTACCACATTACCCTTATTTAATTTTAAAATTTCATAGTATACATTTATTTAATGTATTACCCTTTTTAGTCATTTTATAATAAAATGTACTTATAAGTCACATTTTACCAAACACGTCAACTACTTATCAGTCACTTATAAGTATTTTAACCAAACACGTAATTGCTTAAAATTTCAAATACTTATAAACTAAAATTAGATTATAAGCACTTGTTACTTATAAGCCAATTTTCATAAGCTCAGACAAACACTCTCTTAATAGATAAAAGGTAACAACCTACTTTATGGGGTTTATTATTATAGCATACATTTATTTAATGTATTACCCTTTTTAGTCATTTTATAATAAAATGTACTTATAAGTCACATTTTACCAAACACGTCAACTACTTATCAGTCACTTATAAGTATTTTAACCAAACACGTAATTGCTTAAAATTTCAAATACTTATAAACTAAAATTAGATTATAAGCACTTGTTACTTATAAGCCAATTTTCATAAGCTCAGACAAACACTCTCTTAATAGATAAAAGGTAACAACCTACTTTATGTGGTTTAGTATTATAGCAGGGGTTGTTACAAAAACTTACAACAATAAGAGATACACAGTTGACCAAAGGTTAGACTAGGAATGGATCGGAGATTCTGCAAAACAAGGACATAAGAGGTAGAATCAAGTCTATGTCTACTATTATATTATTATTTTATAAACAGACTGATTGTAAAGAAGAAATATGATAAACAAAGATGAACTCTCTGTCAAAGTGGCTTACATGAATGAGCAAAAAGAAAGAGTCCCCTTCTTCAAGTAAAAAGTCAGTTTATATATTCTATAAACGTAGCAAACTTGTAAATGAGGTCTAACTTGTTGCAAGCTTTTAAAGAGTATCTCTAAATGACTCTTTATATGACCCAAACTCTTTATTATAAAGAGTATATCTATAAAAACAGGAGTTTAACAGGCTCTTTATCTTTAAAATATAAATTAGAAAGCGAGTTTGACTTTCTATATTTAGAGAGTCAAATTTTACTCTCTATCCTAATTTTAATTAATAAACTACAAGTTTTTATGTATTTTATTTATTAATTCTCTTTCCTATTAAGTTTTTTCCTTAAAAATAAAAATTATCTTTATTAAATTTAAAGAATTTATTAAATTTAAATAAAAGTTATGTTTTTTATATCATGACAATGTTTAATTTGAAAACAACATTTAACTTGTAAATGAGGTTAGTTTAAAGCAGACTGACACATGGCAGAGATCTGACTATTGAGCAATAGCAAATCCTTGGGGCACGTGCGATAAATCTGTGCTCATGGAATTTACCACACAATTGCGTGCATTTATAATAGAACAGTTAGACAACGATAGAAGTCCATTGTTAGGAGTTGTAAATTAAAAAAAAGCATTAAGTCTTTATCAATTTCAATGAATTTGTGCTTACTTTTCCTTAATCTAACATTATGTTTTTACTGATATTGTTGAGAAATTAGGGTATATAAATTGAGTAAACTCAGTTTCATTTTTGTAAATGTTGCCATATCATAAGTTTGATTGCATAAGCAAGCTGTAACATTTGCTTTGGTATCAATATCACATATTAAAATTTCAGTACTCTTCTTTTTCAATAATTTTAAGGTATATTAATTAAGGTACAAAGCTTTAAATTGTTCAATTAAGAGATATTCAACGGTTATCTGCCGTTAACTATAACGGAAAATGACTTAAATGTCCTAAATTTTTCTTTTTTCTTTTTCTTTTTGAAGTTTATTAATTCTAAAATCTAAATTTCAAAATGTTAAAAAAACAAAAAAAAAAAAAAAGATTAGAACCACTTTTAATGGAAATTAAAAAAAATTAAAAAACTAAAAACTAAAATGAGATTCAAATAATTAAGAAAAATATAATAATTTTTTTAGTTTTTTAAAATCTTTTATTGTTTTTTATTTTTTATTTTGATATTTTTAATTTTAATATTATTTATAAAATAGAATAATTTGAAATCTTTTTCTTTTTTGGTTCCTTTTTATTTTGATTATTTATTTTGTAAAAAAAATAATTAAATTTGTTCAGTTACCTCTTACCTTAAATAAAGTTAAATAACTAACTATAGTTGTCCTGGATTGAAGGATTTGTAACTTCGTCTTTCATTACAAAAGTATTAAAAATTTGTACCCTAATTGATAATATCTATTTTTTAAACTAAGAATATTTTAATAAATATTGAACAATTTTTTTTTATATATTTTAAATGTTGCAAAAATTCATTTTTTTAGACCAGACAGAAGATCATCTCCAGGTCCATGTACTAATTAAAGCCTAATAACGGATGGGCCGTGTAGTAGAAACTTATGTTTGTGTATTTAACGGATTATATAGCTTTACCTTAAGTGTGGAGAAGATTAAACTTATCACCAGTAACTATGGACACAAACTGTTAGTCCAGTCAGGTGAGATTTTTGGATGAAAAATCTAATACTCTTCTTGTCTTATGCACATATTATTAGAAATGAACAAAATATATTAAAAAGTAAAAGTATACTATATATCTAAAAAAATTTAATTTTTCATGGATAGTGGTTAATATCCAATCTATAATATGGACCCTTTTTAGCAGCGTTTAAACTCGGCTCGACTCGGCTAGTTGAACCAATTCAATCCGGACCCGAAGCCTTCACTGGGTCAGGTTACAAATTTTCCTATTCATTGAAAACCCTAGAAATTAGAACATCAATCGGTGAACATTGAAGATGAATGTTAGGGTTTTTGAAGAGGAATGGCTAGTGAGTGCAATGGTGGCAATGGCGACGATTTTCAGCGAGTGAACGACCGGAAATCGCAAAACATGTCGTTGGAAAAAGCTCGTTATTGCCGGTGATTGGAGAGACGAACGGGGGAGGGCGTGAGATAAGTTTTGGTCTGGAGGCTGAGGGGATGTTTCATGGTGATGGGGGAGTGTTGTTGTTGCTAGAAACATACCCTATTTGTCGACGCCGACGATGGTGTTTGAGATTTTTTTTCAAGATTTCAAAGTTAAAGGATTACATGTAATTTTAGTAGTATTTTTGTTATATTTCAAAATTTTGGACATTGGTTTGACCTTCCGGTAAACTGCTTAAACCGATCAACCTAAGACCCGCCACTTTGTCGAGTTTCACCTCGGGTTGGGTTTTAAACAATTGATTTTTATTAGATTACATGTATTTTATATATATATTCTTCATTTATAATAACATGTAAATAGACAACAAGGGAATAATATAGACTTTTTATTGATAGTCTTACATAACTGGACTAATTGTTTATATCTTATAGTACTGGAGGTAAAAAGTACTCTAAACCTAAAGGATTAAAGCGTAAATAACCCGTATTTAACATGTAGCACAAAAGCAAAAACACGAGTGTTCTTCTTTTTCCCTCCCCTTCAATCAGAGCCGTAGTCAGTCGTGAGTGTAAGCTTTGTCTTCCTCTTCTCTCAAATAAAATAAAAAATATTAATTAAATATTTGAATAATTTGATTGAAGGTTGTAGTAGTGATGATGGACACTCAGCTTCTCTGCTTTAACCGCACCAACGTTTTTCTTAAACCTTTGCAGAATTCTCGTTTTCTATTCTTCGGTGCTCTTCGAAACACTCAATTCTCTCCTTCAGGTATTTCTTTTTTACTTGTTTTCGTATTAAAAATGTGTTTATTTATTTAATTTACGATATTCAAGTAGATTTCACGGAAGTTTAATTAAAATAAGGGTTTTTATTGGAAGTGCTTTTGTCAAAAGCGCTTTTGAGTGAAGCAATTGTGAAGTGGTTATCGATGGACTGTAATGGATAGTGCTGTTGTTCTGTAAGATCTAATTAGCCAGATTGAAAGTACATTTTGGGAAAAGGTATATGTGTTTAGCTTACAAACAGTGCCTTCTACTAAAAGCACTAATCGACATTACCAGCGTTATTTTGGTTTCTTTTGGTTATTTGAGAGCTTTTCTGAGCCAAAAACATCCCTCATAAGTATGTTGATGCTCTTTTTAGGGTTTTTTTTTATTAAAATATATTTAATTAATGGGGATTTAAATTTGTATTGAACTTTTATTTAGCATTACTATTTACTTTTTCCTATTTGATCGTTGTCACAGGTTTAAGTTGTAATAGAATAAGGTGTTCGATGAAGTCTTATAGATTATCAGAGCTAAGTAATGCCGAGGTCCAAAACTTGAAGGCTCGACCTCGTATTGATTTCTTGTCTATTTTCAGCACGGTTAGTTTTCATTCTGTTTCTCAAAGCTTTTGGAAAGAATCTGTCCACCAAGTATTTGATAAACGATACATCTTTTGTTTAGGTCCATCCAATTGTGCTGATGTTCGGAATAGAGGAGATGCTTCAGTTAAAGAGTTGGTGTTTCTTTTATTTCTTTCGTAATCTTTTGTTTTATTCCTTGTTTTGAGTTGTTTTCCCTGAAGGCTTGTGGAATTAGAACTGTATTGTTTCATTAATGAATCTCTGATTATATATTCTATTGCAGTTACACTGAGAGGTTTGATAAAGTTAACTTGACAAAATTGTTGAAATGTCTCTGAGCTTCCTGACCCAGAGGTACTCTATTTAAGAATTTGTATGCTAGAGAAATATTACTTCATACTTCTTGTTCATATCCTGACTATGAAATTGTTATATTTTTTATTTTTACTTTTAATGCTTCTCTTATCCAAATCATTGTTGTTTCACAGCTTCAACCTGCTGTTAAAGAAGCATTTGATGTGGCATATGACAACATATATGCTTTTCATCTTGCTCAAAAATCAGCCGAGCAAAGTGTGGAGAACATGAAAGTAGGTAATACTATTGCGTGCTTCTTTTTCTTCCTATACATAAACCGTCCACTATCCGAATTTTTCAGGGTGTTAAATGCAAAAGGGTGGCAAGGAGCATTGGTTCTGTTGGTCTTTATGTACCAGGCGGAACTGCTGTTTTACCATCAACAGCTCTGATGCTTTCAGTGGTAAGTTAATCTTTGTATAGTATCAATTGATTTTCCTATTTTACTGACTTATGTTATCTCATTATAATTTTTGATGTTGGCTGGATTTATTTAACATTTAACTTATTATGTTGCCAGCCTGCTCAAATAGCTGGGTGTAAAACTACTGTTCTGGCAACTCCACCAAGTCAGGATGGCAGCATATGTAAGGTATTTCACTGGTTGAATAATTTGTTGAGAGATTACTTCTTTTTCCCATAAGAATGCTATTGAGTGATTACTTGCTGATAGCCATTCGATATTTTTTTTTACAGGAGGTACTGTATTGTGCCAAGAAGGCTGGTGTGACTCACATCCTTAAAGCTGGTGGAGCACAGGTTTGAATGCATAAAGCAATCCTTATATGTTATGTGTGGTTAGGAGTATTTTTCAACGTTAGCTTTCTATTTAGGCTTGGAGTATATGTTTCATGTGGTTTGACAATTTTGCTTAACAGGCCATATCTGCTATGGCTTGGGGGACAGAATCTTGCCCAGGGTATGGATTTTCTGAAAATTAATTTCTTGGTGGAATTTAATTCTGATAACTAAGTAGTTCCATTCTTTTGCCAGTTACTTAAAATATCTATAAACTTTATGCTTTCATGTTCCAACTTATTAATCTGAATTTGAGCATAAGCTTGTTCTAGATGAATTGATTGATCATTTTTTTAAGTCAAGACATTGATAGATAAACAGCCTTATTTATGCATTTCTATTATTCTGAATGCTTGGTATTGGGATGCAGTTGTTTGTTGAAGAGATGTTTAACATAAGATTCACTGCTTCAAATACAGATTTTTATCAAAAGCTTTGTTGAAAATTGTATACTTTTGATACAAAATTTCTCTCATCATCAATTTGCAGGTTGAGAAAATTTTTGGGCCTGGAAATCAGTAGTTCACAGCAGCAAAAATGATTCTCCAAGTATGTATTCTTTTCATGAGTTAAGATTAGCTTATTCCCCATTCTTGTGAAGTTGAAGTCAGAGGCATGCCAGATTGTCCTTTGGTCAATTTGATTTGTTTCATTCATGTCTGTTTCTGCTGAACAGAACAGTGAAGCAATGATTTCCATTGACATGCCTGCTGGTCCTTCAGAAGTTTTAGTCATTGCGGACAAATATGCTAGTCCTGTTCATATAGCTGCAGATTTGCTTTCTCAGGTAGTAACTTGATTGGAAATTGTAATTCCCAAAATAAAGATTTATTTAGGTTGGTTTTCCTATTTTAAATAGGAAGTTGCACAAGACTGGGAGTTCTCATTCACATCCTGATTCCTTGGTGGGGGTGTGACAAAAAGTGCTTGTTGTGGTTTTGAGTGGACCACTTTATATTGAGAGGTTGATTTTTACTATGGACTATGCTTTTGCTTCTGCAACTCTCTTTATTGTTAACATGATTATTTATGAGTTTTATGAAATTATAAATGGGTGAACTGTGCCCTGTTTGGACATTGCAAATTATATTTTCGATTTTTGATCTTATGTGGCAGTGCCAGAAGAAATGAAATACTTCAATAATAGTTAGTTGTTGTTAAGATTCAATTATAATAAGTACAAAGGAGTTTCTGTAATCAATGGAGTAGTTTTCCTATAACTGTATCTTGCATCTGAAGCAATCTTGGCAATCTTTTGTCATTACTTCAACGCTCATCATATTCTGCTTGTATATTGTTTTATGTGTTCTCTGACAGAAAATCATTTTCTGTTCTCATAGGAATGTAAAGAATGTTGCACATTAGTCATACTAGCTTTCTGCTTAATCAAACCTAATGCCTTGAATTTGCAATCTAGGCCGAGCATGGGCCAGACAGTCAAGTTGTTCTTGTAATTGCTGGGGACGGAGTGGATCTAAAAGCTATTGAAGAGGAAATCAGTAAGCAGTGTAACGCCTTCCAAGGGAGAGTTTGCTTCAAAAGCTCTTAGCCACAGTTACACAGTATTTGCTTGTGATATGATGGAGGTTAGCCCTCTTATTTCTTTTGTGGTTTCTTACATTCAAACCTGGATGAATTATTTTTATCCTTTGCTCGATACTTTAACTTCTAAGAACTGATTACAGGGTTAGTGGATAGTGTCTAGGTATAATAGCATATAATTAGTGCATCTAATAATTTTATTGAGAGATCTTGTACACTACCTAACTCCTCTAGTTTCAATTCCTTTAACAAGTCACAATATTTGGGTTTTTTAATTTATTCATGCAGTATTTTGAGGATCTGTGCCCACAAGCTTTATTTTTTTTATAAATTTAACTGTTTGTAGTTGTTCTTGGAAAATCTGGAACTGATAATGGCTTTCGGAATTCTTATTAACGATGTAAAATCAAATTTTTTTTTTTCATCTTTTTGGATATATGCATGGCCCTTGTATTACTTTTTCCTTTTAAAGTTCTACGTTTCATTGTATTGGAAGTCTTTCATTACTGCTTCCTGAAACTATTTCATCATTGGTTGTTTTAGGCAATCTCCTTTCAAATTTGTATGCACCTGAGCATCTGATTGTTAATGTGAAAGATGCTGAAAAATGGGAGTGCTCATCGAGAATGCAGGTATATTCTGGAATGTTTCTTTTCTTCTTCTATAAGTGTTTACCTTGATAATTCTCCATATCTATATTTTGATATTATTATGATACCATTTACTCTTAGCTTTAGAAATGCAAATCATATATGAGTCTAAAGGTCATTATTTTGGATTTTGATAATTGTGTCCTAAAGTCCTTGCTCATGGGTTTTATTTCAATTACTGAAAATGACCTTGAACTACTCTATTAGATTTTGAGTAAATTGTTACTAATCAGTTGAAATCTTGGTATGTTGATTCTGGTTCATCCCATGGTACCTAAAATTCATTATGCTATGAAGGCTTTTAAAAGTTAATTTTGCAACTTCTGTGGGGAAAGTACCCAAAATAAGGTGACAATGAAATAATACCTATGTTAAAGCTTTAACTAAATTTTGCTCATTGGTGGAGTTGACAAGAAATATATAGTTTGATGACCATTTTGTCTCGTAGATAGATCTAACTGTTGCCGATTGTCATTGCAGGTTCAGTGTTCTTAGGGCCATGGACGCCCGAAAGTGTGGGAGATTATGCAGCGGGACAAACCACGTACTTCCAACATACGGATATGCACGGATGTATAGTGGAGTTTCTCTTGATTCCTTCCTCAAGTACATGACAGTGCAATCCTTGACAGAGGAAGGTCTGGAAAAGCTTGGTCCATACGTAGCAACCATGGCGGAAGTGGAAGGTCTGGAAGCCCACAAAGAGCTGTATCTCTGAGACTAGAGGACATCAAAGCCAGGCAAGTTGTCAATATCAGATAACATATTACTCAGTGAGGCTCTTTTTGTTGTATTTATTGTCAGATTTTTTGGAGAATATCCTCTCATGTTTTGTCACTTCTATACAAAATTCTGTCATTGCTATTACTGTTCGGATTTATTTGTTGTATCATGATATAGATCTCATAGTATTAATTCTTGATCAATAAGATTTGGAGAATTTTCCGTTTGTTCTAGACAGGCATGCATGATATTATAGGGGTTTGAACAAAACTATTGTTTGGCTAAATGCGTTTCACTAATTCTAATTTTAGAATGTAACTTATATTTAGACGACATATAACTATAGAATGATTCTGTTATAATTTATTACTCTTAATGAGGTCAAAGAATTGTTCAGTAACATAAAATGCTAGACTAGAATTGTTTAGTTACATAATATTTTGCTCGTTATATTAGAATTAGTGAGATTGTTATGTAGGAGAATTACTAGATATTTTAGTAGTTTCCTTTAGGATTATCTAATTAGATATTAGATCCCATAAGACCTTTGGAGGCATTATATAGTTAAAAAATAAAGCTAATTATTGCTTAAAGGAAGATGCTTCTAAGATAGGTTTCGAAAAGAGTACAAAATCTCCAATTTCCAGATAGCTTCTTAAGATTCTTCATGTAAACATAACAACTATACTGAGATGTCATCAAGACTTATCCTCGCAAAGCCTCTTCAATTAATTCTCCGCTTTTTCTTGAGCATCATCCAACACCCTAATGTAATCCGAAGCCTTTGGTTCGACATCACCTGCATAATCAAATTTAACATCATATACATAGTCTGTCGCCCAATTATTTGTCGTCTATGTAATGAATCAAGTCTTGTAATGACATGAAAATCAAAATCATACCTTCCACAGGCCATCACTAGCCAAATGAGGAATTCAGTATCCCTGTCTATCATCTCCGTCCTCACATCTGGTTCTGAAGTAATGTGATCCTTCAGTTTCCATCTCCGAGAAGCTCTTGTCATTGCCAACTGCCCGTCCACACGTGGAACACTCCCTGATTTCATTAACTTGTTAGTTTCATTGGAAACCGACTTTTAGTTATGTTGTAAATTGGCTGTTAATATTTGCATTGTTTACCTGGCCTTTTAGACACAAATCCACCTCTGCTCTCAACAAGTTTTTTCTCTTTCTGGGGTTCATGATCCACTGTTATGGGTTTTGTGGTACCATTTCTGCATAAGATTGCTCGAGAATCCCACATTCGCCACGATTATTCTCTCTGTCAATTAGTATTGCTGTAACTGCAGTCGACCCACCTCGTGATTCCGCTACTTTATTCAGAATCTCATCATCTGTGGCTTTGTATGCTCTCTTGATAGCCTTCTTAGGACTTGTCCAGAAATCAGGCTAATCTCTAGACAATTTAAGAAATGAATTTTCTTGGAAAGATTCTATCAACTAAATAAGAATTTAATTGAAGGCAAACCCAGTTTCATACCGACTTAATATGTTATCAAAGAGATGAGATTGTAAGTATTCTGCAACATAGCGTCCTGAGTGACCATCGAAAATTGCATATAGTCCAAGCTCAGGCCATTGACTTCCCTAGTTTCTGCCACAATATAGTTCCATTCCATGACCCATTTTCCCTTTAACCAAATGAAAGCCATGAGTGACGAGTAGCTTTGAAGGCTCCTCTTGCTCTCCTCCTCATTATCTTCATCTTCACTGTATCATGTTCATCAACCTCCTAAAATTATATTTTACAATATCGACAATTAAAAAAAAAAAAAAAAAAAAAAGACAATCCACTGGATGTGTTTCAATCTTTTTTTCTCCCTTGTCACTCTATATATTACAAGATTACAGTTTTCATTTATCGAAGAGAGACATCAAGAGTTAGCCCGCAGACATGACGACCATGTATGAGTTTATATCTCAAGCTAAAAAAACAATAGTGATCACTGGCAGCTCAGCTCAAAACTTTTATGTTACACAGCCAAATTGACTGTGATGACAATGAAAAAATATATGAAAGAATAGGAATACAGGATGGAAGGATAAACTCACCTTCATATCTGATGGAACTTCCTCCTCTGGACCTATTCTGCTTTCTGAATTAATCCGCCATCGAAAACTAACTAAAAGCTTTCTAAACCATTGAAGTTATACTGAAGATATATATCTTTCATTATCTTTTAATTATGATCTTTAGCAGTGACTGTAGTCACCACACACCTACAATTAATATCACAGAGATTATGCAGCAATTTTCAAAACAGACCTGGATTACATTTTAGCAGAATATGAACACAATAACTACGGAGACATATTCTTTGACAAACTGAAAATGTTAAGATGTATAAACTTGAATTAAAGAAAAGTTGCATACCTTTTCTTACAAGAATCGTCTTCTGATTGTTCGGTTTCTTTCTCTTACAAAAAGAACACGTAGCATATGTGAAGGAAAATATGCATGGAACAGTTGGAAAAAATAGATGAAAATAATATGCAATTTCAAATTCCAGTTAAACTAACAGAAGAGAGTTATTTTATCGCGAAACCCAGCCGGAATTTTGATTGAATCATAGAGTAAGAATGACATTAAGCATATAAAAAGTGCAGAGGCATACTTTCATCTTCTGTAATAATATCTCTTCTGGAAAATATCCTGCACCCTACGGCATGTAAATTAAGAAAACAAGAGCACGTAAAAAACTATATTGTAAATTAAACACGTATTTTTTTTTTTTTTAACGTTTATGCATAAAGGAAGTTGCATACCTTCAAGTGAAGAGAGTTTACTTCCTTCTTCAAGCTTGATGCCCTTTTCTGTAAGTTAAGATAAATTCATTCTATATTATATAAACAGTACTGTATGTTGAGAACATAAACTACACAAGTGATATGCAAAAATTTATGGAAATAAGAAAAATGAAGTTGCCTTCATCGTTTCTGCTTTATGTTAGTTTAATTTGCTCCTCATGGCAGTGAAGATTTATATTATAGTAGAAAATATACAGCTGTCTCCCATGTTTGAGAGTGCGTTACACCGATGACACTTACATTGAGACACGTACTTGCTCATAATATAAGCTTCTGTCTGTCACCGCTTGGTTGGAAATGAGGAGTAGCCTGTAGCCACCCACCCCTTCAACTGGGGCATATGGTATCTTACGACTTACACAGATATATCTTTCTTCAAAGGAAGTAGCCTGTAGAGCTACCCCACCACCCGATTCTAAAGGGTTCATCTTTTTTCTTTTTTCGTTTAGTTTTAGACTTTAACATTTATTAGAAGTTGAAAAGATAAAAAAGCACAGTATGATTCTTACAATTTTTTAAACACTTATTTATCCACTTTACAATAATTAATATATTTTGAATATATATACATACATATAGAAAAGGTAGTTGATGAAAAATAATTGTAATCCTAGTCAAATAGAATTTGGTTTGGGTTAAAAAAATATTTTATAATGTTAATTGTCCTTAAATAGTCAATGGCACGCTTGTAAAGGTCTTTTTTTTTTTTTTTTTTAATTAGAAATGTACTATGAAGATTATAGTGATCAAAATCATGTGTGCAAATGGAACGCCTTTACAATATGTTACAATTATATTAGTTTCAAGATTTTGGAGATTAATTGAGGTGCTTTAAGTTGGTCTAAACACTCCGTTCATAAAACAAAAAAAAAAAGAAATAAATTGGAAATATATTGCTATGAAGATTATAGTGCTCAAAATCATGTGTGCAAATGGAACGCTTTTACAATCTTATCATATTAGAGAACAAAATTAAATATAAACGATCCTTTTACAATCCTACCACATCCATGAAGTTGAATAAATACCCGTCATCCTTTTCCAATCTTACCCACAGCATGACTTACACACCTTCAAATATTTCTTAACATCAAAGTAATTTGAATAAACAACCTCAAAATTCCTCAACTATCCATACTTCTTATCATAATCCTTGACACTAGTATTAACTCTATGACAGTTCATTAAGTATTCTTTAAAAATACTATATTTGAACTGTTTTACTTTAAATAGGAGTTCTAATTTATGTTTCCAACACATTATTGTTACAAATACACTTTTTTTTTTTTTTTTTTTTTAACTATTTGAAGCTCCTTTTTACGAATTAAGAGAGACGAAAGGTATTTATGCTATTTAACTTCTCGCAAGGGGCATTCTTGTGATAACTAACAAAAGCAAAAACACAAAACAACTTCACATACTCTAATAGTTTACTTTATAAATACTCACTAACACTTCGTCATAATATGTTATGAGTAATACTACCAACTTTTTTATATAAATCTTCTATTATAAACTTATATGGTAAAAGATGATTGAGTTGAAATCACTCAATCATTTTTTGCTACATAAGTTTGTGAGAAAAAAAATTGTATAAAAAAGTTGTGGGTATAATATTATTGATATATTATTAGAAAAAGAAAAGCACAAACAAAATTATGTACGATATTCCTTCATATTTGCAAACACTCAATAACACTTCATTCTTTGTATCATCACGTAGGTGTTCAATAATGGCTCAAGAAATGAAACAGTCTACCATTCTTGCGACCTTGTTAATAAAATTTTTATTCTTTTCTTAGCTCTTCCTAATTGCAATTTGCGAATCAAGACTCATTCCCTCAAATGAATCGAAACTCAACAAATGGATTGACTATAATATCGAAAAATTCAAAGAAGGGAAGGGCAAGTTAAACCAAAGAGGATATAAGTTAAATTAGATGGAATCCAACTTGGACGAAGCTTTTGGCTGCGGAAAAGGCTAGTGTTAAGATTATAACTTCATGAAAGATGGTAGCAAAAATTTTGAACGGTGACTGATGCAATAAACAACATTCCGATGTCGAACACAAATAAAGTGGTTATTAAAATCGGTGGACGTTTCTCACCATTGACAGGTCAAAGCAATTTATAACTTTTTACGGGGACCCAAATGAGATGCCAAAGATTTGTTTCAATGGGACAACGACTCAATATGGTACGGTGTATAGTGCTATAGTGGCGGTAGAGAGTGAGTCTGTTGTGGCTGTTGATATTGAATTTGTGGTATGTACTATGGTATTTGATTTCTTGTCTATTTTCAGCACGGTTAGTTTTCATTCTGTTTCTCAAAGTTTTTGGAAAGAATCTGTCCACCAAGTATTTGATAAACGATACATCTTTTTGTATTAGGTCCATCCAATTGTTGCTGATGTTCGGAATAGAGGAGATGCTTCAGTTAAAGAGTTGGTGTTTCTTTTATTTCTTTCGTAATCTTTTGTTTTATTCCTTGTTTTGAGTTGTTTTCCCTGAGGCTTGTGGAATTAGAACTGTATTGTTTCATTAATGAATCTCTGATATATATTCTTATTGCAGTTACACTGAGAGGTTTGATAAAGTTAACTTGACAAAATTGTTGAAAATGTCTCTGAGCTTCCTGACCCAGAGGTACTCTATTTAAGAATTTGTATGCTAGAGAAATAATTACTTCATACTTCTTGTTCATATCCTGACTATGAAATTGTTATATTTTTTATTTTTACTTTTAATGCTTCTCTTATCCAAATCATTGTTGTTTCACAGCTTAACCTGCTGTTAAAGAAGCATTTGATGTGGCATATGACAACATATATGCTTCATCTTGCTCAAAATCAGCCGAGCAAAGTGTGGAGAACATGAAAGTAGGTCAATACTATTGCGTGCTTCTTTTTCTTCCTTATACATAAACCGTCCACTATCCGAATTTTCAGGGTGTTAAATGCAAAGGGTGGCAAGGAGCATTGGTTCTGTTGGTCTTTATGTACAGGCGGAACTGCTGTTTTACCATCAACAGCTCTGATGCTTTCAGTGGTAAGTTAATCTTAGTATAGTATCAATTGATTTTCCTTTACTGACTTATGTTATCTCCATTATAATTTTTGATGTTGGCTGGATTTATTAACATTAACTTATTATGTTTGCCAGCCTGCTCAAATAGCTGGGTGTAAAACTACTGTTCTGGCAACTCCACCAAGTCAGGATGGCAGCATATAAGGATTTCACTGGTTGAATAATTTTGTTGAGAGATTACTTTCTTTTCCCATAAGAATGCTATTGAGTGATTACTTGCTGATAGCCATTCGATATTTTTTTTTTACAGGAGGTACTGTATTGTGCCAAGAGGCTGGTGTGACTCACATCCTTAAAGCTGGTGGAGCACAGGTTTGAATGCATAAAGCATCCTTATATGTTATTGTGTGGTTAGGAGTTTTTTCAACGTTAGCTTTCTATTTAGGCTTGGAGTATATGTTTCATGTGGTTTGACAATTTGTGTAACAGGCCATATGCTATGGCTTGGGGGACAGAATCTTGCCCAAGGGTATGGATTTTCTGAAAATTAATTTCTGGTGGAATTTAATTCTGATAACTAAGTAGTTCCATTTCTTTTGCCAGTTACTTAAAATATCTATAAACTTTATGCTTTCATGTTCCAACTTATTAATCTGAATTTGAGCATAAGCTTGTTCTTCAGATGAATTGATTGATCATTTTTTTAAGTCAGACATTGATAGATAAACAGCCTTATTTTATGCATTTCTATATTTGAATGCTTGGTATTGGGATGCAGTTGTTTGTTGAAGAGATGTTTAACATAAGATTCACTGCTTCAATAAAGATTTTTATCAAAAGCTTTGTTGAAAATTGTATTACTTTTGATACAAAAATTTCTCTCATCATCATTTGCAGGTTGAGAAAATTTTTGGGCCTGGAAATCAGTATGTCACAGCAGCAAAAATGATTCTCCAAGTATGTATTCTTTTCCATGAGTTAAGATTAGCTTATTCCCCATTCTTGTGAAGTTGAAGTCAGAGGCATGCCAGATTGTCTCTTGGTCAATTTGATTTGTTTCATTCATGTCTGTTTCTGCTGAACAGAACAGTGAAGCAAGATTTCCATTGACATGCCTGCTGGTCCTTCAGAAGTTTTAGTCATTGCGGACAAATATGCTAGTCCTGTTCTATAGCTGCAGATTTGCTTTCTCAGGTAGTAACTTGATTGGAAATTGTAATTCCCAAAATAAAGATTATTTTAAGGTTGGTTTTCCTATTTTAAATAGGAAGTTGCACAAGACTGGGAGTTCTCATTCACATCCTGATTCCTTTTGCGTGGGGGTGTGACAAAAAGTGCTGTTGTGGTTTTAGATGGACCACTTTATATTGAGAGGTTGATTTTTACTATGTGACTATGCTTTTGCTTCTGCAACTCTCTTATTGTTAACATGATTATTTATGAGTTTATGATTATAATGGGTGAACTGTGCCCTGTTTGGACATTTGCAAATTATATTTTCGATTTTTGATCTTATGTGGCAGTGCCAGAAGAAATGAACTACTTCAATAATAGTTAAGTTTGTTGTTAAGATTCTTTAAATTATTAAGCAAAGGAGTTTCTGTAATCAATGGAGTAGTTTTCCTATAAACTGTATCTTGCATCTGAAGCTAATCTCTGGCAATCTTTTGTCATTACTTCAACCGTCATCATATTTCATGCTTGTTATGTTTGATGTTCTCTGACAGAAAATCCATTTCTGTTTCTCATGGAATGAAAAGAATGTTGCACATTAGTCTATACTGTCTTCTGCTATACAAACCTAATGCCTTGAATTTGCAATCTAGGCCGAGCATGGGCCAGAAGTCAAGTTGTTTTCTTGTAATTGCTGGGGACGGAGGGATCTAAAAGCTATTGAAGAGGAAATCAGTAAGCAGTGTAACAGCCTTCCAAGGGAGAGTTTGCTTCAAAAGCTCTTAGCCACGTTACACAGTATTTGCTTGTGATATGATGGAGGTTAGCCCTCTTATTTCTTTTGTGGTTTTTTACATTCAAACCTGGATGAATTATTTTTATCCTTTGCTCGATACTTTAACTTCAAGAACTGATTACAGGGTTAGTGGATAGTGTCTAGGTATAATAGCATATAATTAGTGCATCTAATAATTTATTTGAAGATCTTGTACACTACCTAACTCCTCTAGTTTCAATTCCTTTCAACAAGTCCACAATATTTGGGTTTTTTAATTATATTCATGCAGTATTTTTGAGGATCTGTGCCCACAAGCTTTATTTTTTTAAAATAACTGTTTGTAGTTTGTTCTTGGAAAATCTGGAACTGATAATGGCTTTCGGAATTCTTATTAACGATGTAAAATCAAATTTTTTTTCATCTTTTGGTATATATGCATGGCCCTTGTATTACTTTTTCTTTTAAAGTTCTACGTTTCATTGTATTGGAAGTTTTCATTACTGCTTCCTGAAACTAATTTCATCATTGGTTGTTTTAGGCAATCTCCTTTTCAATTTGTATGCACCTGAGCATCTGATTGTTAATGTGAAAGATGCTGAAAAATGGGAGTGCTTCATCGAGAATGCGGTATAATTCTGGAATGTTTCTTTTCTTCTTCTATAAGTGTTTTACCTTGATAATCTCCTTATATCTATATTTTGATATTATTATGATACCATTTACTCTTAGCTTTAGAAATGCAAATCATATAGATGAAAGGTCATTATTTTGGATTTTGATATATTGTGTCCTAAAGTCCTTGCTCATGGGTTTTATTCAATTACTGAAAATGACCTTGAACTACTCTTATTAGATTTTGAGTAAATTGTTACTAATCAGTTGAATCTTGGTATGTTTGATTCTGGTTCATCCATGGTACCTAAAATTCATTATGCTATGAGAGCTTTTAAAAGTTTAATTTTGCAACTTCTGTGGGGAAAGTACCCAAAATAAGGTGACAATGAAATAATACCTATGTTAAAGCTTAACTAAATTTTTGCTCATTGGTGGAGTTGACTAAGAAATATATAGTTTGAGACCATTTTGTCTCGTAGATAGATCTAACTGTTGCCGATTGTCATTGCAGGTTCAGTGTTCTTAGGGCCATGGACGCCGAAAGTGTGGAGATTATGCAAGCGGGACAACCACGTACTTCCAACATACGGATATGCACGGATGTATAGTGGGTTTCTCTTGATTCCTTCCTCAGTACATGACAGTGCAATCCTTGACAGAGGAAGGTCTGGAAAAGCTTGGTCCATACGTAGCAACCATGGCGGAAGTGGAAGGTCTGGAAGCCACAAGAGAGCTGTAACTCTGAGACTAGAGGACATCAAAGCCAGGCAAGTTGTCAATATCAGATAATATTACATCAGTGAGGCTCTTTTTGTTGTATTTATTGTCAGATTTTTGGAGAATATCCTCTCAGTTTTGTCACTTCTATCAAAATTCTGTCATTGCATATACTGTTCGGATTTTATTTGTTGTATCATGATATAGATCTCATAGTAAATTCTTGATCAATAAGATTTGGAAGAATTTTCCGTTTGTTCTAGACAGGCATGCATTGATATTATAGGGGTTTGAACAAAACTATTGTTTGGCTAAATGCGTTACTAATTCTAATTTTTAGAATGTAACTTATATTTAGACGACAATATAACTATAGAATGATTCTGAATTATAATTTATTACTCTTAATGAAAGGTCAAGAATTTGTTCAGTAACATATAAATGCTAGACTAGAATTGTTTAGTTACATAATATTTTTGCTCGTTATATATTAGAATTAGTGAGATGTTTGTAGGGAATTACTAGATATTTTAGTGTTTCCTTTTAGGATTATCTAATTAGATATTAGATCCCATAAGACCTTTTGGAGCATATATAGTAAAAAATAAAGCTAATTTATGCTTAAAGGAAGATGCTTCTAAGATAGGTTTCGAAAAGAGTACAAAATCTCTCAATTTCCAGATAGCTTCTTAAGATTCTTCAAACATAACAACTATACATGAGATGTCATCAAGACTTATCCTCGACAAAGCCTCTTCAATTAACTTCTCCGCTTTTCTTGAGCATCATCCAACACCCTAATGTAATCCGAAGCCTCTTGGTTCGACATCACCTGCATAATCAAATTTAACATCATATACTAGTCTGTCGCCCAATTATTTGTCGTCTATGTAATGAATCAAGTCTTGATAATGACATGAAAATCAAATCATACCTTCACAGGCCATCACTAGCCAAATGAGGAATTCAGTATCCCTGTCTATCATCTCCGTCCTCACATCTGGTTCTGAGTAAGTGATCCTTCAGTTCCCATCTCCGAAAGCTCTTGTCATTGCCAACTGCCCGTCCACACGTGGAACACTCCCTGATTTCATTAACTTGTTAGTTTCATTGGAAACCGACTTTTATTGTTATGTTGTAAATTGGCTGTTAATATTTGCATTGTTTACCTGGCCTTTTAGACACAAATCCACCTCTGCTCCTCAACAAGTTTTTTCTCTTTCTGGGGTTCATGATCCACTGTTAGGGTTTTGTGGTACCATTTCTGATAAGATTGCTCGAGAATCTCCACATTCGCCACGATTGCTTCTCTCTGTCAATTAGTATTGCTGTAACTGCAGTCGACCACCTCGTGATTCCGCTACTTTATTAGAATCCATCATCTGTGGCTTTGTATGCTCTCTTGATAGCCTTCTTAGGACTTGTCCAGAAATCAGGCTAATCTCTAGACAATTTAAGAAATGAATTTTCTTGGAAAGATTTCTATCAACTAAATAAGAATTTAATTGAAGGCAAACCCAGTTTCATACCTGACTTAATATGTTATCAAGAGATGAGATTGTAAGTATTCTGCAACATAGCGTCCTGAGTGACCATCGAAAATTGCATATAGTCCAAGCTCATGGCCAGACTTCCCTAGTTTCTGCCACAATATAGTCTTCCATTCCATGACCCATTTTCCCTTTAACCAAATGAAAGCCATGATGACGAGTAGCTTTGAAGGCTCCTCTTGCTCTTCTCCTCCTATCTTCATCTTCACTGGTATCATGTTCATCAACCTCCTAAAATTATATTTTACAATTATCGACAATTAAAAAAAAAAAAAAAAAAAAAAGACAATCCACTGGATGTTGTTTCAATCTTTTTTTCCCTTGTCACTCTTATATTACAAGATTACAGTTTTCATTTATCGAAGAGAGACATCCAAGAGTTAGCCCGCAGACATGACGACCATGTATGAGTTTATATCTCAAGCTAAAAAAACAATAGTGATCACTGGCAGCTCAGCTCAAAACTTTTATGTTACACAGCCAAATTGACTGTGATGACAATGAAAAAAATATATGAAAATAGGAATACAAGGATGGAAGAGATAAACTCACCTTCATATCTGATGGAACTTCTCCTCTGGACCATATTCTGCTTTCTGCAATAATCCCGCCATCGAAAACATAACTAAAAGCTTTCTAAACCATTGAATGTTATACTGAAGATATATATCTTTCATTATCTTTTAATTATGATCTTTAGCAGTGACTGTAGTCACCACACCTACAAATTAATATCACAGAGATTATGCAGCATTTTCAAAACAGACCTGGATTACATTTTAGCAGAATATGAACACAATAACTACGGAGACATATTCTGACAAACTGAAAATGTTAAGATGTATAAACTTGAATTTAAAGAAAAGTTGCATACCTTTTCTTCACAGAATCGTCTTCTGATTGTTCTGGTTTCTTTCTCTTACAAAAAGAAAACGTAGCATATGGTGAAGGAAAATATGCATGGAACAGTTGGAAAAAATAGATGAAAATAAATAGCAATTTCAAATTCCAGTTAAACTAACAGAAGAGAGTTATTTTATCGCGAAACCCAGCCGGAATTTTGATTGAATCATAGAGTAAGAATGACATTAAGCATATAAAAGATGCAGAGGCATACTTTCATCTTCTGTAATAATATCTCTTCTGGAAAATATCCTGCACCCTACGGCATGTAAATTAAGAAAAAAGAGCACGTAAAAAACTATATTGTAAATTAAACACGTATTTTTTTTTTTTTTAACGTTTGCATAAAGGAAGTTGCATACCTTCAAGTGAAGAGAGTTTACTTCCTTCTTCAAGCTTGATGCCTTTTCTGTAGTTAAGATAAATTCATTCATATTATATAAACAGTACTGTATGTTGGAAACATAAACTACACAATGTGATATGCAAAAATTTATTGGAAATAAGAAAAATGAAGTTGCCTTCATCGTTTCTGCTTTATGTTAGGTTTAATTTGCTCCTCATGGCAGTGAAGATTTATATATATAGTAGAAATATACAGCTGTCTCCATGTTTGAGAGTGCGTTACACCGAGACACTTAACATTGAGACACGTACTTGCTCATATATATAAGCTTCTGTCTGTCACCGCTTGTGTTGGAAATGAGGAGTAGCCTGTTAGCCCCCCACCCCTTCAACTGGGGCATATGGTATCTTACAGACTTACACAGATATTATCTTTCTTCAAAGGGAAGTAGCCTGTAGAGCTACCCCACCACCCGATTCTAAAGGGTTCATCTTTTTTTCTTTTTCGTTTAGTTTTAGACTTAACATTTATTAGAAGTTGAAAAGATAAAAGACACAGATATGATTCTTACAATTTTTTAAACATTTATTTATCCACTTTCACATAATAATTATATATTTTGTATATATACTACATATAGAAAAGGTAGTTGATGAAAAAAAATTTGTAATCCTAGTCAAATAGAATTTGGTTTGGGTTAAAAAAAAATATTTTATAATGTTAATTGTCCTTAAATAGTCAATGGCACGCTTGTAAAGGTCTTTTTTTTTTTTTTTTTTTAATTAGAATGTACTAGAAGATTTAGTGATCAAAATCATGTGTGCAAATGGAACGCCTTTACAATATTACAATATATTAGTTTCAAGATTTTGGAAGATTAATTGAGGTGCGTTTAAGTTGGTCTAAACACTCCGTTCATAAAAACAAAAAAAAAAGAAAATAAAATGGAAATATATTGCTATGAAGATTATAGTGCTCAAAATCATGTGTGCAAATGGAACGTCTTTTACAATCTTTTATCATATTAGAGAACAAAATTAATATAAACGATCCTTGTACAATCCTACCACATCAATGAAGTGAATAAATACCGTCATCCTTTTCCAATCTTACCCACAGCATGACTTACACACCTTCAAATATTTCTTAACAATCCAAAGTAAAATTTAAATTTGTTCAGTTACCTCTTACCTTAAATAAAGTTAAATCTAACTAACTATAGTTGTCCTTGGATTGAAGGATTTGTAACTTCTGTCCTTTCATTACAAAAGTATTAAAAATTTGTACCCTAATTGATAATATCTATTTTTTTAAACTAAGAATATTTTTTAATAATATTGAACAATTTTTTTTTTATATATTTTAAATGTTGCAAAAATTCATTTTTTTAGACCAGACAGAAGATCATCTCCAGGTCCATTGTACTAATTAAAGCCTAATAACGGATGGGCCGTGTAGGTAGAAACTTATGTTTGTGTATTTAACGGATTATATAGCTTTACTCCTTAAGGTGTGGAGAAGATTAAACTTATCACCAGTAACTATGGAACACAAACTGTTTAGTCCAGTCAGGTGAGATTTTTGGATGAAAAATCTAATACTCTTCTTGTCTTATGCACATATTATTAGAAATGAACAAAATAATATTAAAAAGTAAAAGTATACTATATATCTAAAAAAATTTAATTTTTCATGAGAATAGTGGTTAATATCCATATCTATAATATGGACCCTTTTTAGCAGCGTTTTAAAACTCGGCTCGACTCGGCTAGTTGAACCAATTCAATCCGGACCCGAAGCCTTCACTGGGTCAGGTTACAAATTTTCCTATTCATTGAAAACCCTAGAAATTAGAACATCAATCGGTGAACAATTGAAGATTGGAATGTTAGGGTTTTTGAAGAGGAATGGCTAGTGAGTGCAATGGTGGCAATGGCGACGATTTTCAGCGAGTGAATCGACCGGAAATCGCAAAACAATGTCGTTGGAAAAAGCTCGTTATTGCCGGTGATTGGAGAGACGAACGGGGGAGGCGTGAGATAAGTTTTGGTCTGGAGGCTGAGGGGAGTGTTTCATGGTGATGGGGGAGTGTTGTTGTTGCTAGAAACATACCCTATTTGTCGACGCCGACGATGGTGTTTGAGATTTTTTTTCAAGATTTCAAAGTTATAAGGACTTACATGTAATTTTTAGTAGTATTTTTGTTATATTTCAAAATTTTGGACATTGGTTTGACCTTCCGGTAAACTGCTTAAACCGATCAACCTAAGACCCGCCACTTTGTCGAGTTTCACCTCGGGTTGGGTTTTAAAACATTGATTTTTATTAGATTACATGTTATTTTATATATATATTCTTCATTTATAATAACATGTAAATAAGACAACAAGGGTAATAATATAGACTTTTTATTGAATAGTCTTACATAACTGGACTAATTGTTTATATCTTATAGTACTGGAGGTAAAAAGTACTCTAAACCTAAAGGATTAAAGCGTAAATAACCCGTATTTAACATGTAGCACAAAAGACAAAACACGAGTGTTCTTCTTTTTCCCTCCCCTTCAATCAGAGCCGTCAGTCAGTCGTGAGTGTAAGCTTTGTCTTCCTCTTCTCTCAAAATAAATAAAAATATTAATTAATTAAATATTTGAATAATTTGATTGAAGGTTGTAGTAGTGATGATGGACACTCAGCTTCTCTGCTTTAACCGCACCAACGTTTTTCTTAAACCTTTGCAGAATTCTCGTTTTCTATTCTTCGGTGCTCTTCGAAACACTCAATTCTCTCCTTCAGGTATTTCTTTTTTTACATGTTTCCGTTATTAAAAATGTTGTTTATTTATTTAATTTACGATATTCAAGTAGATTTCACGGAAGTTTAATTAAAATAAGGGTTTTATTTGGAAGTGCTTTTGTCAAAAGCGCTTTTGAGTGAAGCAATTGTGAAGTGGTTATCGATGGACTGTAATGGATAGTGCTGTTGTTCTGTAAGATCTAATTAGCCAGATTGAAAGTACATTTGGGAAAAGGTATGTCATGTGTTTAGCTTACAAACAGTGCCTTCTACTAAAAACACTTAATCGACATCACCAGCGTTATTTTGGTTTCTTTTGGTTATTTGAGAGCTTTTCTGAGCCAAAAACATCCCTCATAAAGTATGTTGATGCTCTTTTTAGGGTTTTTATTTTTTATTTTTTTTTATTAAACATATTTTAATTAATGGGGATTTAAATTTGTATTGAACTTGTATTTAGCATTACTATTTACTTCTTCCTATTTGATTGTTGTCACAGGTTTAAGTTGTAATAGAATAAGGTGTTCGATGAAGTCTTATAGATTATCAGAGCTAAGTAATGCCGAGGTCCAAAACTTGAAGGCTCGACCTCGTATTGATTNTTTTTTAATAATATTGAACAATTTTTTTTTTTTTTTTTTTTTTTATATTTTAAATGTTGCAAAAATTCATTTTTTTAGACCAGACAGAAGATCATCTCCAGGTCCATTAGACCGTGTACGTAGAAACTTATGTTTGTGTATTTAGCGGATTATGTACACTTTACTCCTTAAGGTGTGGAGTAGATTAGACTTATCACCAGTAACTATGGAATACGAACTGTTTAGTCCAGTTAGGTGAGATTTTTCGATAAAAAATCTAATATCCTTCTTGTCTTAATTCTTATACACATGTTATTATAAATGAACAAAATAATATTAAAAAGTATAAAAAAAATTAATTTTTTATAAGAATAGTGGTTAATATCCATATATATAACATGGACCATTTTTAGCAGTGTTTTAAAACCCGACTCGACTCGGCTGTTTGAACCAATTCAATCGGGACCCGAAGCCTTCACCGGGTCGGGTTACAAATTTTCTTATTAATTGAAAACCCTAAAAATTAGAACATCAATCGGTGAACAATTGAAGATTAGAATGTGTTAGATGAAAAAGGGTAGTAAACTTCTTGCCATTTTACTTTTCTGTTTTACCTTATTTTGTCGTTTAAGGAGTTTATTCTTTAATTCTTTATACAGCTATAATTATAGGAATTTGTTATGCTTTCTGTTAGTTTGTTACAGAGCACCCTTGTATAAAGGCTACGGCCTCCTTTCCTTTTTCCCATATACAGTAAGCAATATACAAAAGCTTCATTGAAACCTCCATTACTGCTCTCGCTTCTCCTTTCTTTTATTATCAGTTTGCTTACAGAATGTTAGGGTTTTTGAAGAGGAATGACTGGTGAGTGCAACTTAGGACCCAACCACTTTGTCGAGTTTCAACTTTCAACTTGGATTGGGTTTTAAAACATTGATTTTTATAAGATTACATGTTATTATATATATATATTCTTCATTTATAATATGTAAATAAGACAATAAGGGTAATAATATAGACTTTTTATTGAAAAGTCTTACATAACTGGACTAAATTTTTTTTATCTTATAGTACTGGAGGTAAAATAGTACTCCAGACCTAAAGGATTAAAGCGTAAATAACCCGTATTTAACATGTAGCAAAAAAAACAAAACACGAGTGTTCTCCTTTTTCCCTCCCCTTCAATCAGAGCCGTCAGTCAGTCGTGAGTGTAAGCTTTGTCTTCCTCTTCTCTCAAAATAAATAAAAATATTAATTAATTAAATATTTGAATAATTTGATTGAAGGTTGTAGTAGTGATGATGGACACTCAGCTTCTCTGCTTTAACCGCACCAACGTTTTTCTTAAACCTTTGCAGAATTCTCGTTTTCGATTCTTCGGTGCTCTTCGAAACACTCAATTCTCTCCTTCAGGTATTTCTTTTTTTACATGTTTCCGTTATTAAAAATGTTGTTTATTTATTTAATTTACGATATTCAAGTAGATTTCACGGAAGTTTAATTAAAATAAGGGTTTTATTTGGAAGTGCTTTTGTCAAAAGCGCTTTTGAGTGAAGCAATTGTGAAGTGGTTATCGATGGACTGTAATGGATAGTGCTGTTGTTCTGTAAGATCTAATTAGCCAGATTGAAAGTACATTTGGGAAAAGGTATATCATGTGTTTAGCTTACAAACAGTGCCTTCTACTAAAAGCACTTAATCGACATTACCAGCGTTATTTTGGTTTCTTTTGGTTATTTGAGAGCTTTTCTGAGCCAAAAACATCCCTCATAAAGTATGTTGATGCTCTTTTTAGGGTTTTTATTTTTTATTTTTTTTTATTAAACATATTTTAATTAATGGGGATTTAAATTTGTATTGAACTTTTATTTAGCATTACTATTTACTTTTTCCTATTTGATCGTTGTCACAGGTTTAAGTTGTAATAGAATAAGGTGTTCGATGAAGTCTTATAGATTATCAGAGCTAAGTAATGCCGAGGTCCAAAACTTGAAGGCTCGACCTCGTATTGATTTCTTGTCTATTTTCAGCACGGTTAGTTTTCATTCTGTTTCTCAAAGCTTTTTGGAAAGAATCTGTCCACCAAGTATTTGATAAACGATACATCTTTTTTGTATTAGGTCCATCCAATTGTTGCTGATGTTCGGAATAGAGGAGATGCTTCAGTTAAAGAGTTGGTGTTTCTTTTATTTCTTTCATAATCTTTTGTTTTATTCCTTGTTTTGAGTTGTTTTCCCTGAAGGCTTGTGGAATTAGAACTGTATTGTTTCATTAATGAATCTCTGATTATATATTCTTATTGCAGTTACACTGAGAAGTTTGATAAAGTTAAACTTGACAAAATTGTTGAAAATGTCTCTGAGCTTCCTGACCCAGAGGTACTCTATTTAAGAATTTGTATGCTAGAGAAATAATTACTTCATACTTCTTGTTCTTATCCTGACTATGAATTTGTTATATTTTTTATTTTTACTTTTAATGCTTCTCTTATCCAAATCATTGTTGTTTCACAGCTTCAACCTGCTGTTAAAGAAGCATTTGATGTGGCATATGACAACATATATGCTTTTCATCTTGCTCAAAAATCAGCCGAGCAAAGTGTGGAGAACATGAAAGTAAGTCAATACTATTGCGTGCTTCTTTTTCTTCCTTATACATAAACCGTCCACTATCCGAATTTTTCAGGGTGTTAAATGCAAAAGGGTGGCAAGGAGCATTGGTTCTGTTGGTCTTTATGTACCAGGAGGAACTGCTGTTTTACCATCAACAGCTCTGATGCTTTCAGTGGTAAGTTAATCTTATGTATAGTATCAATTGATTTTCCTATTTTACTGACTTATGTTATCTCAATTATAATTATTGATGTTGGCTGGATTTATTTAACATTTAACTTATTATGTTTGCCAGCCCGCTCAAATAGCTGGGTGTAAAACTACTGTTCTGGCAACTCCACCAAGTCAGGATGGCAGCATATGTAAGGTATTTCACTGGTTGAATAATTTTGTTGAGAGATTACTTTCTTTTTCCCATAAGAATGCTATTGAGAGATTACTTGTTGAGAGCCATTCGATGTTTTTTTTCAGGAGGTACTGTATTGTGCCAAGAAGGCTGGTGTGACTCACATCCTTAAAGCTGGTGGAGCACAGGTTTGAATGCATAAATCAATCCTTATATGTTATTGTGTGGTTAGGAGTATTTTTCAACGTTAGCTTTCTATTTAGGCTTGGAGTATATGTTTCATGTGGTTTGACAATTTTTGCTTAACAGGCCATATCTGCTATGGCTTGGGGGACAGAATCTTGCCCAAAGGTATGGATTTTCTGAAAATTAATTTCTTGGTGGAATTTAATTCTGATAACTAAGTAGTTTCATTTCTTTTGTCAGTTACTTAAAATATCTATAAACTTTATGCTTTCATGTGCCAACTTATTAATCTGAATTTGAGCATAAGCTTGTTCTTCAGATGAATTGATTGATCATTTTTTTAAGTCAAGACATTGATAGATAAACAAGCCTTATTTTATGCATTTCTATTATTCTGAATGCTTGGTATTGGGATGCAGTTGTTTGTTGAAGAGATGTTTAACATAAGATTCACTGCTTCAAATACAGATTTTTATCAAAAGCTTTGTTGAAAATTGTATTACTTTTGATACAAAAATTTCTCTCATCATCAATTTACAGGTTGAGAAAATTTTTGGGCCTGGAAATCAGTATGTCACAGCAGCAAAAATGATTCTCCAAGTATGTATTCTTTTCCATGAGTTAAGATTAGCTTATTCCCCATTCTTGTGAAGTTGAAGTTAGAGGCATGCCAAATTGTCTCTTTGGTCAATTTGATTTGTTTCATTCATGTTTGTTTCTGCTGAACAGAACAGTGAAGCAATGATTTCAATTGACATGCCTGCTGGTCCTTCAGAAGTTTTAGTCATTGCGGACAAATATGCTAGTCCTGTTCATATAGCTGCAGATTTGCTTTCTCAGGTAGTAACTTGATTGGAAATTGTAATTCCCAAAATAAAGATTTATTTTAAGGTTGGTTTTCATATTTTAAATAGGAAGTTGCACAAGACTGGAAGTTCTCATTCACATCCTGATTCCTTTTGCGTGGGGGTGTGACAAAAAGTGCTTGTTGTGGTTTTAGATGGACCACTTTTATATTGAGAGGTTGATTTTTACTATGTGACTATGTTTTTGCTTCTGCAACTCTCTTTATTGTTAACATGATTATTTATGAGTTTTATGAAATTATAAATGGGTGAACTGTGCCCTGTTTGGACATTTGCAAATTATATTTTCGATTTTTGATCTTATGTGGCAGTGCCAGAAGAAATGAACTACTTCAATAATAGTTAAGTTTGTAGTTAAGATTCTTTAAATTATTAAGCAAAGGAGTTTCTGTAATCAATGGAGTAGTTTTCCTATTAAACTTTATCTTGCATCTGAAGCTAATCTCTGGCAATCTTTTGTCATTACTTCAACCGTCATCATATTTCATGCTTGTTACGTTTGATGTTCTCTGACAGAAAATCCATTTCTGTTTCTCATAGGAATGATAAAGAATGTTGCACATTAGTCATACTAGTCTTTCTGCTTAATCAAACCTAATGCCTTGAATTTGCAATCTAGGCCGAGCATGGGCCAGACAGTCAAGTTGTTCTTGTAATTGCTGGGGACGGAGTGGATCTAAAAGCTATTGAAGAGGAAATCAGTAAGCAGTGTAACAGCCTTCCAAGGGGAGAGTTTGCTTCAAAAGCTCTTAGCCACAGTTACACAGTATTTGCTTGTGATATGATGGAGGTTAGCCCTCTTATTTCTTTTGTGGTTTTCTTACATTCAAACCTGGATGAATTTATTTTTATCCTTTGCTCGATACTTTAACTTCTAAGAACTGATTACAGGGTTAGTGGATAGTGTCTAGGTATAATAGCATATAATTAGTGCATCTAATAATTTTATTTGAAGATCTTGTACACTACCTAACTCCTCTAGTTTCAATTCCTTTCAACAAGTCCACAATATTTTGGGTTTTTTAATTATATTCATGCAGTATTTTTGAGGATCTGTGCCCACAAACTTTATTTTTTTTTTTATAAATTTAACTGGTTTGTAATTTGTTCTTGGAAAATCTGGAACTGATAATGGCTTTCGGAATTCTTATTAACGATGTAAAATCAAATTTTTTTTTTCATCTTTTTGGTATATATGCATGGCCCCTGTATTACTTTTTGCTTTTAAAGTTCTACGTTTCATTGTATTAGAAGTCTTTTATTACTGCTTCCTGAAACTAATTTCATCATTGGTTGTTTTAGGCAATCTCCTTTTCAAATTTGTATGCACCTGAGCATCTGATTGTTAATGTGAAAGATGCTGAAAAATGGGAGTGCTTCATTGAGAATGCAGGTATAATTCTGGAATGTTTCTTTTCTTGTTCTATAAGTGTTTTACCTTGATAATTCTCCTTATATCTATATTTTGATATTATTATGATACCATTTACTCTTAGCTTTAGAAATGCAAATCATATAATGAGTCTAAAGGTCATTATTTTGGATTTTGATATATTGTGTCCTAAAGTCCTTGCTCATGGGTTTTATTTCAATTACTGAAAATGACCTTGAACTACTCTTATTAGATTTTGAGTAAATTGTTACTAATCAGTTGAAATCTTGGTATGTTTGATTCTGGTTCATCCCATGGTACCTAAAATTCATTATGCTATGAAGGCTTTTAAAAGTTTAATTTTGCAACTTCTGTGGGGGAAAGTACCCGAAATAAGGTGACAATGAAATAATACCTATGTGAAAGATTTAACTAAATTTATGCTCATTTGTGGAGTTGACTAAGAAACATATAGTTTGATGACCATTTTTGTCTCGAAGATAGATCTAACTGTTGCTGATTGTCATTGCAGGTTCAGTGTTCTTAGGGCCATGGACACCCGAAAGTGTGGGAGATTATGCAAGCGGGACAAACCACGTACTTCCAACATACGGATATGCACGGATGTATAGTGGAGTTTCTCTTGATTCCTTCCTCAAGTACATGACAGTGCAATCCTTGACAGAGGAAGGTCTGGAAAAGCTTGGTCCATACGTAGCAACCATGGCGGAAGTGGAAGGTCTTGAAGCCCACAAGAGAGCTGTAACTCTGAGACTAGAGGACATCAAAGCCAGGCAAGTTGTCAATATCAGATAACATATTACATCAGTGAGCCTCTTTTTGTTGTATTTATTGTCAGATTTTTTGGAGAATATCCTCTCATGTTTTGTCAATTCTATACAAAATTTTGTCACTTCTATACAAAATTCTGTCATTGCTATTACTGTTCGGATTTTATTTGTTGTATCATGATATAGATCTCATAGTATTAATTCTTGATCAATAAGATTTGGAAGAATTTTCCGTTTGTTCTAGACAGGCATGCATTGATATTATAGGGGTTTGAACAAAACTATTGTTTGGCTAAATGCGTTTCACTAATTCTAATTTTTAGAATGTAACTTATATTTAGATGACATATATAACTATAGAATGATTCTGAATTATAATTTATTACTCTTAATGAAAGGTCAAAGAATTTGTTCAGTAACATATAAATGCTAGACTAGAATTGTTTAGTTACATACTATTTTTGCTCGTTTATATATTAGAATTAGTGAGATTGTTAAATAGGAGAATTACTAGATATTTTAGTAGTTTCCTTTTAGGATTATCTAATTAGATATTAGATCCCATAAGACCTTTTGGAGGCATTATATAGTTAAAAAATAAAGCTAATTTATTGCTTAAAGGAAGATGCTTCTAAGATAGGTTTCGAAAAGAGTACAAAATCTCTCAATTTCCAGAAAGCTTCTTAAGATTCTTCATGTAAACATAACAACTATACATGAGATATCATCAAGACTTATCCTCGACAAAGCCTCTTCAATTAACTTCTCCGCTTTTTCTTGAGCATCATCCAACACCCTAATGTAATCCGAAGCCTCTTGGTTCGACATCACCTGCATAATCAAATTTAACATCATATACATAGTCTGTCGCCCAATTATTTGTCGTCTATGTAATGAATCAAGTCTTGATAATGACATGAAAATCAAAATCATACCTTCCACAGGCCATCACTAGCCAAAATGAGGAATTCAGTATCCCTGTCTATCATCTCCGTCCTCACATCTGGTTCTGAAGTAATGTGATCCTTCAGTTTCCCATCTCCGAAAGCTCTTGTCATTGCCAACTGCCCGTCCACACGTGGAACACTCCCTGATTTCATTAACTTGTTAGTTTCATTGGAAACCGACTTTTATTGTTATGTTGTAAATTGGCTGTTAATATTTGCATTGTTTACCTGGCCTTTTAGACACAAATCCACCTCTGCTCTCAACAAGTTTTTTCTCTTTCTGGGGCTCATGATCCACTGTTATGGGTTTTGTGGTACCATTTCTGCATAAGATTGCTCGAGAATCTCCCACATTCGCCACGATTAGCTTCTCTCTGTCAATTAGTATTGCTGTAACTGCAGTCGACCCACCTCGTGATTCCACTACTTTATTCAGAATCTCATCATCTGTGGCTTTGTATGCTCTCTTGATAGCCTTCTTAGGACTTGTCCAGAAATCAGGCTAATCTCGAGACAATTAAAGAAATGAATTTTCTTGGAAAGATTTCTATCAACTAAAATAAGAATTTAATTGAAGGCAAACCCAGTTTCATACCTGACTTAATATGTTATCAAAGAGATGAGATTGTAAGTATTCTGCAACATATCGTCCTGAGTGACCATCGAAAATTGCATATAGTCCAAGCTCATGGCCATTGACTTCCCTAGTTTCTGCCACAATATAGTCTTCCATTCCATGACCCATTTTCCCTTTAACCAAATGAAAGCCATGAGTGACGAGTAGCTTTGAAGGCTCCTCTTGCTCTTCCTCCTCCTACCTCCTCATTATCTTCATCTTCACTGGTATCATTTCATCAACCTCCTAAAATTATATTTTACAATTATCGACAATTAAAAAAAAAAAAAAAAAAAAAAAAAGCCATCCACTGGATGTGTTTCAATCTTTTTTCCCCTTGTCACTCTATATATTACAAGATTAAGTTTTCATTTATCGAAGAGAGACATCCAAGAGTTTGCCCGCGCAGTTATATCTCAAGCTAAAAGAACAATAGTGATCACTGGCAGCTCAAAATTTTATGTTACACAGCCAAATTGACTCTGATGACAATGAAAAAAATATATGAAATAATAGGAATAACAAAGCATATTAGCAAGGATGGAAGAGATAAACTCACCTTCAGATCTGATGGAACTTCCTCCTCTGGACCATATTCTGCTTTCTGCAATTAATCCCGCGACCGAAAACATAACTAAAAGTTTTCTAAACAATTGAATGTTATTCTGAAGATATATATCTTTCATTATCTCTTAATTATGAATCTTTAGCAGTGACTATAGTCACCGCACACCTACAAATTAATATCACAGAGATTATGCAGCAATTTTCAAAACAGACCAGGATTACATTTTAGCAGAATATGAACAGAATAACTACGGAGACATATTCTTTGACATACTGAAAATGTTAAGATGTATAAACTTGAATTTAAAGAAAAGTTGCATACCTTTTCTTCACAAGAATCGTCTTCTGATTGTTCTGGTTTCTTTCTCTTACAAAAAGAAAACGTAGCATATGGTGAAGGGAAAATATACATGGAACAGTTGGAAAAAAATAGATGAAAATAAATATGCAATTTCAAATTCCAGTTAAACTAACAGAAGAGAGTTATTTTATCGCGAAACCCAGCCGGAATTTTGATTGAATCATAGAGTAAGAATGACATTAAGCATATAAAAGATGCAGAGGCATACTTTCATCTTCTGTAATAATATCTCTTCTGGAAAATATCCTGCACCCTACGGCATGTAAATTAAGAAAACAAGAGCACGTAAAAAAACCATATTGTAAATTAAACACGTATTTTTTTTTTTTTTTAACGTTTATGCATAAAGGAAGTTGCATACCTTCAAGTGAAGAGAGTTTACTTCCTTCTTCAAGCTTGATGCCCTTTTCTGTAAGTTAAGATAAATTCATTCATATTATATAAACAGTACTGTATGTTGAGAAACATAAACTACACAATGTGATATGCAAAAATTTATTGGAAATAAGAAAATTGAAGTTGCCTTCATCGTTTCTGCTTTATGTTAGGTTTAATTTGCTCCTCATGGCAGTGAAGATTTATATATATAGTAGAAAATATACAGGTGTCTCCATGTTTGAGAGTGCGTTACACCGATGACACTTAACATTGAGACACGTACTTGCTCATACATATAAGCTTCTGTCTGTCACCGCTTGTGTTGGAAATGAGAAGTAGCCTGTAGCCACCCACCCCTTCAACTGGGGCATATGGTATCTGACAGACTTACACAGATATTTATCTTTCTTCAAAGGGAAGTAGCCTGTAGAGCTACCCCACCCACCCCGATTCTAAAGGGTTCATCTTTTTTTCTTTTTTCGTTTAGTCTTAGACTTTAACATTTATTAGAAGTTGAAAAGATAAAAGACACAGATATGATTCTTACAATTTTTTAAACACTTTATTTATCCACTTTCACATAATAATTAATACATTTTGAATATATATACATACATATAGAAAAGGTAGTTGATGGAAAAATAATTTGTAATCCTAGTCAAAATAGAATTTGGTTTGGGTTAAAAAAAATATATTTTATAATGTTAATTGTCCTTAAATAGTCAATAGAACGCTTGTAAAGGTTTTTTTTTTTTTAATTAGAAATGTACTATAAAGATTATAGTGATCAAAATCATGTGTGCAAATGGAACGCCTTTTACAATATGTTACAATTATATTAGTTTTAGGATTTTAGAAGATTAATTGAGGTGCGTTTAAGTTGGTCTAAATACTCCGTTTATAAAAAAAAAATATATATTTTTTAATAAATTGGAAATATATTGCTATGAAGATTATAGTGATCAAAATCATGTGTGCAAATGGAAGGTCTTTTACAATCTTTTATCATATTAGAGAACAAAATTAAATACAAACGATCCTTTTACAATCCTACCACATCAATGAAGTTGAATAAATACCCGTCATCCTTTTCCAATCTTACCCACAGCATGACTTACACACCTTCAAAATATTACTTAACATATCCAAAGTAAGGAAGTCAATAGCGTCTTGTTAGCTTCCACAATTTCTTTTGAATAAACAACCTCAAAATTCCTCAACTATCCATACTTCTTATCATAATCCTTGACACTAGTATTAACTCTATGACAGTTCATTAAGTATTCTTTAAAAATACTATATTTGATCTGTTTTACTTTAAATAGGAGTTCTAATTTATGTTTCCAACACATTATTGTTACAAATACACTTTTTTTTTTTTTTTTTAACTATTTGAAGCTCCTTTTTACGAATTAAGAGAGACGAAAGGTATTTATGCTATTTAACTTCTCGCAAGGGGCATTCTTGTGATAACTAACAAAAGCAAAAACACAAAACAACTTCACATACTCTAATAGTTTACTTTATAAATACTCACTAACACTTCCTCATAATATATTATGAGTAATACTACCAAATTTTTTATATAAATCTTCTATTATAAACTTATGTGATAAAAGATGATTGAGTTGAAATCACTCAATCATTTTTTGTTACATAAGTTTGTGAAAAAAAAATTGTATAAAAAGATTGTGGGTATAATATTATTGATATATTATTAGAAAAAGAAAAGCACAAACAAAATTACATACGATATTCCTTCATATTTGCAAACACTCAATAACACTTCATTCTTTGTATCATCGAGAAGGTGTTCAATAATGGCTCAAGAAATGAAACAGTCTACCATTCTTGCGACCTTGTTAATAAAATTTTTATTCTTTTCTTAGCTCTTCCTAATTGCAATTTGCGAATCAAGACTCATCCCTCAAATGAATCGAAACTCAACAAATGGATTGACTATAATATCGAAAAATTCAAAGAAGGGAAGGGCAAGTTAAACCAAACAGGCTATAAGTTAAATTAGATAGAATCCAACTTGGACGAAGCTTTTGGCTGCGGAAAAGGCTATTGTTAAGATTATAAATTCATGAAAGATGGTAGCAAAAATTTTGAACGGTGACTGATGCAATAAACAACATTCCGATGTCGAACACAAATAGAGTGGTTATTAAAATCGGTGGAGGTTTGTCACCATTGACAGGTCAAAGCATTTATAACTTTTTACGGGACCCAAATGAGATGCCAAAGATTTGTTTCAATGGGACAACGACTCAATATGGTACGTGTATAGTGCTATAGTGCGGTAGAGAGAGTCTGTTGTGGCTGTTGATATTGAATTTGTGGTATTTACTATGCTTTATAGGTTCAAAACTTAGTGACAATAGCATTATATTTTGACTTAACTTTTTTTATTTTCTTCTTTTGAACTCTGTAAGAGACATGTTGCCTTGTTTGTAACTGTAACTTACAAAGAGCAGGCGATATAAGCTAAAGTGCAATTGCTACATTTGAGAATTCATTAGTAACTACACCTTCATCACTAAACTGTGATTATCTTAAATTTTGTTATTTGTTTGTGTTGAAGTGCAAAATAGAATACAAATAATACGTTTCCTTAATTGTGAAACAATATTATGTTTCTTTATTATATAGCTTAATTTTTGTATAAATAGGCAATATTGATTCAATTATAATTAATTCAATAATAATTGAATTCACTAAATTATCTCATTGAGTCTTATTTGTTCATTATCCCGACATGGTATCAGAGTTTCCAGGTTGAATCAGCTTTCGCTCAGGTAACCTCTCTCTTCTATCCCTACAATTCAAACGGATACTTGGTTGGCACAATACTCAGCTAGCCTCTTTTTCTATCCCTGCAATTCAAACAGATACTCGGTTAAAATTTCCAATGGCAAACAATCAAAGCTCAAACTCTGACATAATCACCGACATTTGTATCTTTTACGCAAGTTTATGGTTTATGACCACAAACTTGAGGGGGAGTGTTAAAGTGCAAAATGGAATGCAAATAATATGTTTCTTTAATTGTGAAACAATATTATGTTTCCTTATTTTAGGAGATTTTAGATATTATTACAATATTATATTTCCTTATTATATAACTTAATTTTTGTATAAATAGGCAATACTGATTCAATCATATTTGAATTTATTAAATTATTTCATTGAGTCTCATTTGTTCATAACTCTGACAATTTAATATTTTCTCGTAGAATTCAGCTCCAATGCCAAATTAAAAAAGAGAGGGTGCACAAGTAACCAGCATGAGAATATCAGGAGATAAGGCAGCGTTCCACAATTGCAACTTTATAGGCTATCAAGACACATTGTTAGATGATAAAGACAAACATATCTTCAAGGACTGCTATATCCAAGGCAAGGTATTTCATTTTTGGAAATGGCTAATCCCTCTATTTGGTACTTCCACCGCGCTCATTATTATTATACCCTAAGTTATTTTAAGATGTACAATATGAAATATAAATTTAAAAGACGAAACAAGAGAACATTATTCTTTAAATAAGGGCTTTTTTTTAGAAAAAAAAAATCTAGGATCTAGCTGGTTAACCATATCTACTATAGTTAAATTCTTGCACATCAATATATATATATATATATATATATATATATATGAGAAAACACGTTGATAATGTTTTTTGTGATTGGAAGCTTAAAATTGGGATGTTTATGCAGAACACCAATCTAAGGCCAGTTTCAAATGGCATGAGAGTCATCACAGTGTTGAGATATTGTGGCTCGCTTTTTTTTTTTTTTTTTCCCCATGTAAAATTATGTCTTTTGGTAAACTATTTAACAAAGAATACAATTGTAAATAAAAATATCATTATAAGAGTCTTTGATATGCAAATATGAAATGTTAATATTCTATTTCCTTACCTAAAGAGATTACAAACATTATTATGAGATATTTTATTTCCTTAGAGAAATTACAAACATTATTATGAGATATTCTATTTCCCTACTTAGATAAACTACAAACATTATTGTGAGATTATTTTTCCACATTTGTAAAAATATGTGATACGAATACATCTAAAACATAATTCAATAAAATACAATTCTTTCTTCTCATTATATTTCTTGTGCATACTCCAATTTTCTTCAATTGTCTTTCTTGTTCTCTCATCAAATCAAAACTCCTCTCATAATCAAGCTTCCACTAATCAACCCACTTCAGCCTTAAGTTTTACTTCTAGCCTACAAAATACAGGCACTCTGGTTAGATAACCAAACAAGGGCAAACTCAACACTCTACCTCAAAAACTCAACCAGGAGAAGAACAGGGTCTGGACAGCTCATATTTGGAAGCCCAAACCGAATCAAAATTAATTTTTCTGTTTTCTCTTTCACTAAATTATCTTCATCTACTCGTTCACTAAGAGCTAGTTTAGAATTGCTGTAGATTTATATTTAAATAAGTTTTTATCCCACTTTAAAAATAATTTTTCATGTCTTTGGTAAAGAAAATTTTTAAAATTGCTTTGATATTTAAAATCAATTATATTGTGTTTGATAAAATAGATTTTTAAATTGTTATAACATGTGTAAAGACAAAAATGAATTTTTTTATGTCTTGAATATCATTATTTTAAATTATAATTAATATTTAATCTATATTTTAAAACAAATAGTAATATATAAAAAACTAAAAATTAAAAATAACTACCGGTCTATTGTTGGAACAGTGATGGCCGCCGACTATTGTTGTCGGTGAAAGATCCGACTTTCATCGCAGGAGGCCAAAATAACTTCATTCTTCGGTTGTGACCAAACGCCACGTCACATGGCGGAGATTTCACAAACATCAGATAGATCGGTTTTTGCCAATCTTTCTAATTGTTGGTGCATGTGCCATTGGAGGTGGTTGTCGGTGGCCACCACTGATTTATAACTTTTTATCCCACTTCAAAAATAATAAGCTTTAAAAATAATTTTTAATGTGTTTGGTAAAGAAAATTTTTAAAATTGCTTTGATATTTAAAATCAATGATATTGTGTTTGATAAAATAGATTTTTAAATTGTTATAACATTTCTAAAGACAAAGATGAACTTGTTTTTTATGTCTTCAATATCATTATTTTAAATTATAATTAATATTTAATCTATATTTTAAAACAAATCGTAATATATAAAAACTATAAATTAAAAATAACTACCGGTCAGTTGTTGGAACCGTGATGGTCGCTGACTATTGTTGTCGGTGAAAGATCCGACTTTCATCGCAGGAGGCCAAAATAACTTCATTCTTCGGTTGTGACCAAACGCCACGTCGCATGGCGGAGATTTCACAAACATCAGATAGATCGGTTTTTGCCAATCTTTCTAATTGTTGGTGCATGTGTCATTGGAGGTGGTTGTCGGTGGCCACCACTGATGGTGGTCCGATGACATTGTTCTGACAACAGTCTAGAAGTATACTTTTATTTTTATTTTATGAAATAAATATATTTTTTGGGGTAAAGGGTAATTCATTCAATTTAATTACTATTTATTAAATTAATCAAATATAAATTCAAATAGCATTTTTAATTATTGACATTGTACATATATAAAATCTGTTTAAGAAATAAACTGATTTTGAAAAGCTACAAAAGGTAGGTTTTCAAATTCTTTTATAAATTTGATTATTTTATGATCAGTTTCAAAAGTTGTTTAGCAAACGATTTTGTTGATGTAACCAAAATGCACTCTAATTTATCTTCATCAATTCAAAATAGAAAAATAAATCTATGTCTCATGTGTTTAATCTATATGGTCAGTGTTTTATAATTTTAATCTATAAATTTTTATGTTCCACAATTTTGACCATATGCCTTCTTATAAATAAGCACATTTAAGAGAAAATCTCTGTTTCATTAACACCTAAACTTTAACCAAATTCAATATCCATGCACACTCATACAATTAATTAATTATTAATTTAACCAAGGATATAATTTACAAAACCACAATTGTAATAAAAAAAGAAGTGATATAGATAAAAATTAAATAAACATTATGAGACTGGCTGAGCAAATGACGTTTGGGTATTAATAGAAAATCAAACCCATGTTGAATCTAACAGCTTACAACAAAAAAATTTGAATCACGCTAAGAAAACATATAATTCTTATGGATTTAGAACTTCATTTGACCGTGACTGATAACTTTCTTATCGAGCTGGAACACCTCCCCGAGAATGTCAGTGTTAATCTCAGGTGTAGATCCGAACACAGTGTTTGCAAGTTGAACAGAGCCAGGGTTTTGGCTATTGAGAGATGCATACGCAACAGCGGGAACTTTCTTTGGGTTTTTTTGATAGTGGACCAGGCCAATTGGGAAGACAAACACATCACCCTTCTGGAGAACCTTTGTGAAGAGACGATACTCGGGGCTTGAGGTCACAAATCCGACTTCGAGGGTGCCTTCGATGACGGTAAGGATCTCGGAGCCACGAGGGTGAAGGTGAAGAGGGTTGATTCCACCAGGCCGGAAGTCGATGCGAGCAAAAGAGATGCCGAGAGAGTTGAGCCCTGGAATATGTTGGGCATTCAAGAGGGTTACCTTTGAGCCTAGAGGGCTTGATATGTTTCCAGGTTTGTGAAGTTCGGTGTAGAAGAAATCATTTTCATGAACCAGCTTCAAATCCTTACAGACTGCCCCGCTCGCCGTCACTGCATTGTGGTAGAAATTTATAATGAATGACAAGAATAAAACATAAGACAAAAGAAATACTTATATAGAACAGTCTTATCATATTTTATTGTTAATTTTTAAAACCATCTTTTACGGTGTTAGATATTGATGAATGAAAATAGGCAGTTATTTATGAATCATGGTGATTGGTAGATGAAAGAGAAATTTCGTCAAATATGTAACAACACATCTATTGGACGGTCTCACCGCATCAGCCAAAATAAATGGTGAAACTATTTCATATAGGTATTTCTCAGGCATAAAGTAATTAGAGTTTGTAGAATTACCTGGACTTGTTGGGTCTGCCACACAAATATCAAATAGAGGATTGTTATCTGCTGCCAACACAAGGGAGAAAGAAAGAGCGAGGAGGCCAAACAAGAAAATATTATGTGAGGCCATTTGAAAATGTAATTAAAAATAAAACTCTAATTACAATGACTAATGGCTTTAAGATATGAGAGAAGAAGAATTTGCAGTTTCTTTATATAGAGTCAAACTGCAAACCTTCTTCCGTAGCAGCCTTGTTTAGCTGTCCAAGACCACATAATTCAGAATGATAAAAAAAAAATACACCAAAAATAAACCAATTTTGCCAATTTGTTTACTTCTTTGTTTAGCCTAATAGTTGGATGGTTCCCCGAAATTTTCTTCTCTTTTACCGAAGTCAATCGCAATCAAGATCAAGAATAATTTAATCCATGTATTATTATATGCTAACAAATAGGATCATTGGGAAGTACTACATGAGATGCAATTGATAAACCAATATTAATATTGCTAGTTTTTAATTGAATATTTACATGACATTAACTCATCTTATTATACATTGGCAAAATATTTCTGTTGCGTTAAAGATTTTTTTGATGTATCCTTATATAATGTCTAGTGCATTAGCGTTTGGTTTGAAGAATTTTTTATTATTGAAAAGATAGAATTATCATTAAGATAGATTACCTTGAATATTAATGAGGAATGTTATATTAATATATTTGTTTAGATTGGTAAGTATAAATAATTAATATATTTGGTTGGGAGGAATAAAATATTATCGGAGTAGTTTTTACTGAATTACCCTTCCTTTTTAATATTATTATTATTATTATTATTTTAGTATGTCTCCTTATATTTGAAAATTTAGCTAAAACATCCCAACAACAAAAGTTTAAAATTTTAAAAAAATACTCACAACCACCCAAGACAATTGTTGGCTTCCAACCACCACCAATGGCCGCCGCCAGAATGATGCACAACAGACCGAATTTGGCCAACCGTGCGTCAATCTAGCCGAAAATGGTTAAATCTATGCCTGTTTATGACCATGGTCTGGCCATTTTCAGCCAAACTACGGCCATCTGGTCGAAAACAACCAGATCGGTGCACGGTCAGCTAGTTTCGGCCAGTAGTACACCGTTCTAATAACTGCTGGCGATAGTGGGCAGTCATTTTGAGTGAATGAGGGTATTTTGGGTATTATTCATGTAAATAATGAGGGTATTTCTGTTCCAAAAATTAATTTATGAGATTATAGAAGTCATTTATCGCATTTGGGCTAATTGTTATTCAGTAAACATATGAGGGCATTTATGTCCCAAATGTTTATTAATTATAGGAAAAACTGGTATGAACAGTGGATTACCCCGGTAATAAAAAAATAACACCATTTCAAATGGTAATTGATTACCTCCTATATTACTTACAGTAATCACTATTAGTATTAGTCGGTTATCAGAATCTTTCATCACTTGAAACCCAAACATGATAATTGTCAGATTAAAAGATAGATTACCAGTGTTATTTTTTACAATCCTAAACCAAACACACATTGCGATCAGCATTCCCTAAACGAAACGTCCCCTCAAGGGGTACCAAATTATATTTCCGACAAAACAAGGGTGAAAAAATAAATAAATTAATCATATACAAGTAGTAAAATTCTTAAAAGAATTCAAAAATATATCTAAGAGAGACTCCGATTTGTTTCATTTATCACCTAAATTTTATCTTATGTAAATATCTATGCTATTGTTGCTTCTTCACTCCTTTAATTAAAGCTCCAAATTTAAAAACCATGCACACTCATAAAATTAAATTATTAATTGTACCAAGGATATCATTTACAAGGTAATAGATAATAAGTACTATAAATATAATTTGAAGTGTACATTAATAAAACAAATTGTGAGAACAGGCCGAGCAAATAACGTTTGGATATTAACAGAAAATCAAACCCAAGTTGAATCCAACAGCTTACAACATAAAAATCAGAATCACACTGATAAAAACTTAATTATCCTGGATTTAGAACATCTGTTGACCGTGTCTAATAACTTTCTTATCGAGGTGGAAGGTCTTCACGAGAATGTCAGTGTTAATCTTAGGTGTAGATCCGAACGCAGTGTTTGCAAGTAGAATGGAACCGGGGTTTTGGCTATTGAGAGATGCATAGGCTACGGCAGGAACATGTTCTGGGTTTTTCTGGTAATGGACGAGGCCAGCAGGGAAGACAAACACATCACCCTTCTGAAGAACCTTTGTGAAGAGACGATAGTCGGGGCTCGAGGTCACGAATCCGACTTCGAGTGTACCCTCGATGACGGTGAGGATCTCGGAGCCACGAGGGTGAAGGTGAAGAGGGTTGATTCCTCCGGGCTGGAAGTCGATGCGAGCGAAAGAGATGCCGAGAGAGTTGAGTCCCGGAATCTGCTGTGCATTCAAGAGGGTTACCTTTGAGCCTAGAGGGTTTGATGTGTTTCCAGGTTTGTGAAGTCCGGTGAAGAAGAAATCATTTTCATGAACCAGCTTCAAATCCTTGCAGAGTGGTCCGCTTGCCGTCACTACAATGTGGTACAAATATATAATCAAAGACAAAATAAAACATTACATTGAGAAACACTTATCTTGGACAGTCTCACCACCTCATTGGACTGATGTGGTGAGACCGTTCAATAAAATAAAGATAGTATTGTTAATTTATAACACCATAAGGGTGGAGCCAGAAAATTTATTCTGGGGGATCAAAAAAAAAAAAAAAAAAAAGGATTAAGAATTTTCTCATGCATAAAATAATTAGGGTTTATAAAATTACCTGGACCTTTTGGGTCTGCCACACAAATATCAAAAAGAGGATTGTTATCAGTTGCCAATACAAGGGAGAAAGAAAGAGCGAGGAGGCCAAAGAAAAAAATATGATGTGAGGCCATTTGAAAATGTAATTATAAAAATTAAAAATAAAACTCTAATTACAATGACTAATGGCTTTAAGATATGAGAGAAGAAGAATTTGCAGTTTCTTTATATAAAGTAAAATTTAGTATGTAAAACTGCAAACCTTCTTCCCTAGCAGCCTTGTATAGCTGTCAAAGACCACATAAGAATGATGGATATAGCACCAATATAAACCAATTTTTGTTCATACCAACTTGTTTAATTCTTTTTTTAGCCTAACAGTTCGATGGTTCCCCAAGTTTTTCGTCTCTTTTACAGAAACTATCCCAATCAAGATTAAGAATAGTTTAATCTATGTGTTATAAGCTAACAAATATGATCAACAATATCTATGCATTAAATTCTTTGGGTTTATTTTATCATATATTATTGTTTCTAACTTTCAATAGATTTGCACATTTACAAAATTTATAAATTTGTTATTCTTTTTTTTTTTTTAAAAGAAAAAAGAAAAAAAAGAAAACGCATGTGATCCCAATGTGCACTATTTATATTTAATTGACATGTTAAATAAAAAAGAGTATATATAAAACAAGGATTGAGAAAATATAACATGAGTAGTTAAAATGTAAATATAAGGGTTAGTTTGTAAATCGATGGGATTTATTTTGACATTTAAATATGTTTAAAATTTTTATTGGGGTAAATTTAAAGGCTAGGTTTATTAAGTTAAATTATGGGAGGCCAGTAGCACCACTCTTTAAAGTATATACATGACAGGTACTCATTTGTACGTATATAGGCAATGTGGTATACCTTATGTATAGTATACTTGTTCACTAATATCCAAACATTATATATTTATTATACATTAGTATCCAATTCATCTGCTTAGCCAACTCTAGAGAAGCTTATGATGATTAAATAAAAAACTTTTTCTGTTTATTAGGAGAAACTCAAATTTTCAAAAATTTCAAGTTCTTTTTCTGTTTTATTTTATTTTATTAATTTTGACTTAAAGATGTTTCCATTCATTTTAAACTTTCATTTTATTTGCTAAAAATCTCTGATGTTATTTGATCCATATTGATACTCTAGACACCCATTTTGCTTTGTACAAATGTAATTTAAATGTTAAGATTAAGTTTTGATTCCATTTTGAACAAAGTACTTGTGGTTTTAATTATATTTTATATTTTATATTTAATTAGTTAAGAAATTATCTATCAATTTTGTATTGGAATTAGGAAAATATATGAAATAAAAATCAATTTTTTTTTTTTTAAATTTATACTAATATAAATATAAAATAGGCTTTGAGAGTGAGGTGTAAATAGTCTCACGGTTTATATTTACTTAATCTAACTACTAACTACTAACTACTTTATAGAATTTTTATTCTTGCAATATTCTTTCTTCATTTGGAATTTTACCGAATTCTTTTATAAACTTGTGATAAATTCTATATAACTAATAAGTCTGTATAGTAATCAATACCCTCAAATTTAATTGATTTTCAATAATTATAAAGTGCAAAAGTGATCTCTGGTCCCTAGTCTCAAGCTAGAAGAAAAGCCTTTGCTTTGTTCAAGTTATTTAAGAGAAGGGAAAATCAAAATCAAAAGCAAAAGCAAAATATATAAATAAATAAATAAAAGCAAAATCATAATAATGATAATAATAGCTTCAGCAAGTGTCATTCATAGCTTGTCTTTTACAATGGACACATGAAATTAAACTACAAATGAACAAATGAACAAACATGGCTATTTATTGTGATTAAGAATTGAGAACGATTTAAATAAGACAAATGGACAGGTTACACAGAGTAAATGCATATATGGTTGACTTAAAAGTTCGCCTGTAATTGCTCAATCACATTCTTCTCAACCTGGAAAGCCTGTCCAAGAACATCGCTAGAAATGTCAGGCTTAGAACCAAAGACCGCGTTAGCAACAGTGACTGTTCCAGGATTTTGACTGCTAAGACCGGCAATAGCCACGGCATTACAGTTTCCAACGTTGCGCTGGAAGTGCACGAGACCCACCGGGAAAGTGAACACATCGCCAGGCTGAAGAACTTTCACTATGAGACGGTTATCAGGATTGGAAGTGATGAACCCAACCTCAACAGTACCTTCCAGAACAGTCAATATTTCACTGGCCCTGGGGTGAGTGTGAGGTGGATTAATGCCCCATGGAGCAATGTCAATGCGGACCATCGAAATGCCAAGAGTGTTGAGACCTGGAAATTGGGCAACTGTCACTGGAGTCACCCTGGAACCAACTGCATTAGATGTGTTACCCGTCAGGTGTAGCCCACTGAAATGGAAATCTTTGGCTTCGACTAGCTTTGCATCTTTGCAGGCAAAACCATTCACCAGTACTGCCATAAAAAGTAAAATCATCAGAAAACTTATCAAATAAGAAGTCGATGCTTAAAAGGCATCCATTTCTGGAGTCTTCTCCGACGCGTTGTTTGTTTATGTATATAGTACCTGAGCTTGTTGCGTCTCTGACACAAAAATCTTGAAGTGGGCTATGATCAGCTAAGGCAAGTGAAAAAACTAGACCAAGGAATCCTAACAAGAGAATTGTTTTAGTAGCCATTGGAGAATATAAAAAGTAATACGTCTCAAAATCTTAAACAAACGAAGTGGATTTTGATGTGTGAATAAGCATGTAATGTTTCCTCCTTTTATAGATTATTATAGATGTATTGAGAGATGCCGCCCCAATGGGTTGAAATTTTCAGTAAAATGCATGCATAACCAAACAAAGGTGCTTGACCAGTTCTTTGAGCTTGTGCCCTCCAGTTGTATATTAGCTAGGCCTCAGAATGAATTTAATTGGTGTTGACTATCGGCTTGGTCCTTTTTCTGTTGTTTGTTTTGATTTATTCATTCTGGACAATCTCCATCTTCACGAAATTACTATTAACTAATCCACAGGTCATTACTAGCATAATTGCCTGCATAAGTTATCTCATGCTAAGTCGCCATGCCACTCCAAAGAATACGCGGTTTCTTTTTTTTTTTTTGGTTTATTATATATGCTTGGTTATTTGTTTACAATATGTGCTACAACTCTTCATGAATTGATTGGAGATTATCTATAAGTTTAATCTCTATTGATTGCCAGAGATTGTGACATTAATTGAACTAAATTTGTTGTTATGACTCATATGAGGATTGTCTGATTCAGGTTTGTTTGGTGCTAAGAGGGTCAGATACTCAGATATAGTGTTCAGTTGCTATTTTTATTGTGTATAAGGGTCATAGTGTATTAGTGTCTGCCTTATTTAACAAGGCTTAATCCATATGTATTGGCCCATTTGGACGGCAAGAAAATATTGTGACAATTTTTTATTAGCTTTAACTAATCGTTAAAACACATCAAATTATTCTCACAGACTACGGTTAGAACTCTCATTAATGTGTCGTTTCTTTGGGCTTCGTAAGCCTAACGAGAAGTTATTACTAGTTATCTAGAGTTGTGATCGTGACCATCGTTAAATGGGATGAAATACTTATAATGTTATATGCACAAAGTTAGAATAACAAATGACATGATTGTTGATATGTTAGCTCTGTATTTACAATAGAATTTTGGAGATTAAAATTGTTTTTAATTTATAATTATATCACGCTGACATATCAAGAATCACATCAGTGAAGATATAAAATTGAAATATCAACTTCCTAGAATAATATTACTTAATTCTAGACCGTTAATTATTTTTGCTTATTTCTATTACGAGCAAAGTGATTCTATTACTAGTGTAAGTGCCCTTTAAGTTAAAGAACTTCGAAGAATTTGGTAGGATAACATATGCGTTTGTTATTGGATCCATCATGTATGTTATGTAATATATTCGGATTGATGTCTCATGTGCATTGAGTATTTGTAGTAGATATTAATCAGATCCAGGTGAGCGTCACTAAAAAGTTATCAAGAGCATACTAAAGTACCTGAAAATGACAAATGATATATTCTTGGTCTATAGAAAAGAAGATGAACTCACTATGAAATGATATAGTGATGCCGGTTTTCAAACTAACAAAGATGACTATCGATAGCAAAGTTAGAGTTTGTATATTGTCTCAATAGAGCTGTAGTGACCTAGAAAAGCTCATAGCAAACCACTGTAGTGGATTCCACAATAGAGGCTAAGTACATAGCATTATTAGATGCAACCAATGAGGTCGTTTGGATAAAAAAGTTAATTACTGAACTAGGTGTTGTTCCAAACATTGTTGATCTAGTTGATATATTTTGTGAAAACAATGGAGTATTTGCTCAGGCTAAGGAATCATGGTCTAATCAGTAGTCCAAACACATACTCAGACGATTCAATCCGATCAGTGAAATTGTTCAAAGAGGAGATGTGCAGATTAGCAGAGTATCTACATATGACAATGTAGCAGACCCACTGACAAAGGCTTTGTCGCAGCAAAAGCATGATAGACACTTAACTTCATTTGGTATTAAATACATGAATGATTGTCTATAATGCAAGTAGAAGATTTTTAGAGTAAGTGCCCTATATATAATTAACTCTTTGTAACATGTTTATATATATATTAAAAAAAAAAAAACATTTTATATATCATGTAATTCATGTTTAATTACGTATAGATATATGTCCTTAGAATGGTAGAATTGTGATTAAAGAATCAAGTGTTTCAAATCTTGATTATGAGTACCCTATGATTACATCTGGTGGTAATTCTAAAAACGTCTATATCCTTAGTATTATTCTAACCAAAGACACAAATAATACAATAAAACTATCATAATGTTGAACGATCCTAACGAAATGTAGTGATAGATCTCACATGTCAAAATTATTTGGTGCGACGCATAAGTGTTTGTTGTTTGCAAGTTCATCGAACTGATCTACTAGAGGATTCTATATGGATGGTAATCATAGTATCTGTGGAATACATTCTCTAATGGATAACGGTGCATGTGATCCTTAGGATCACCATAGCATCATGTTTAAATACTAGTGTAGTTTTAACGCTAGCCTAATATAGTCCTATTCAGGATTATCAGTACGGTGATAGTTGGCTACATTGAAAGTATACTATGGCTATGGTGGATCAACAAATGACTCATTACTGTTGGGTACAGGAGAAGTTGTCTCATAGAGCTATTCGGTTTAATGACAACAACCATAAATCTGTGGCCACGGTAGAATTTAGTTGTTGCTCAAATCCAATTTTGTTTGGTTGTTGGTCTGATAACCGAATGCCAACATATCAAGGAAATATATATTTGAAGTTAACAATATTTCTTATTTCAACCTTGATGAGATAACAGTTGATGAAAGGCTTGGATTGCATAGTAACCATATAATTGATAGGTAGCTATTTCGCTGAATCTCTATCTATTGGGTAACCATTATACCTTGCTAGAGATCAATCTTGGTTTGTGTATGGAGAGCTGATTAGATGATGCTTAATTACGATTTCATTCACTGCCAACATGAAGGGGGCCTATGAGTCAAACACTTAGAAGGCAATTTGAGGTAAATAATATTTTTGGGGCATTTTACGTCTTTTTAGACGAATAGATATTTTGGTAATTTTACCAAGCAATTAAATTATGATTTCATTCACTGCCAACACGAAGGGAGCCTATTTCCAATTTTGGTATTGGAATTAATTTAGTAAAATTATAATTTTAATTATTAGAATTAAATTGATATTAATATTCATATTAATTATAAAATTGAAGTATTATTCTATTCTACCTAGGAATAGGGTTATTCCTATTCTGGGCCTCTGGGGTGGATTAGAGTTTTAATTATGCTATAAAAGCATAATTAAAATTATGGTTAGTGTGAATTCTTAACCCTAGCCGATTCTTGAAAAGGGAGAACGAAAATTCTCTCAAAATTCAGCCCCAATCTTTGAAGCAAATAATGTATTCTAGCAAATATATTATTTGTGTGATTGTGTTTTTGCCTTTGTGTGGATATAGTGTGCGCAATTTTCTGGTTGAATCGATTTGTGAAACTAATTCAGAGTAAATTGAAGGACCCTTCAATAGCAGGTATAAAATTAATCCTTGAATTTTAATGTCATTGAATCATACGTATTATCAATCCATGATTTTGGGTCTTGTACTTTTTTTTTTTTTTTTTTTAATTCCACTACGTGTTCCGACGAATCCTTACAGCATGTGCATGTAGGATCATAGGACTAAATACTAAACTTATGTACTAGCCATATCAAAATTTGTATTATAAAACAGAAAATATATTGATATCATACATGATTTGAATGATGAAGACATTAATCTTATTTCAAGGTGATCGTTATCCATATATGTATTTATATATTTTCTTAGTAGCGAAAATTATTTCCAATTTCTTTTTTTTAGATTTGTTGTGTGTTATCGATTCAATAACCACCTGTACTGATGAACCAATTAATAAACAATTCATTGAATTGATACTTTATTACCCTTTAATTGACACTAATCTAATGATTGCTAATTATATATAGAGCAGTATTTATTACTTTATAATATGACAATGTTAAGTCTACAACCTTCTTTCACAACTTTCGATGTGACAGTTCATCTTTGATTAGTTCGCAAATAAGCAGATGAAACTCATACAAACAAACGAGACCATTTTACAAACTAATCAATAACAAACTGTCACGTCAAAAGTTGTGAGATTGGGTTGTGAGTAACTAAATCAATTCTCTAGAACTTGTCTTGGATTTGATTAATCACTTGCTCGTCAACTTGGAAAGCCTTGGCGAGAATATCACTTGAAATATCAGGTTTTGAACCAAACACCGCATTGGCAATGGTAACAACTCCAGGATCTTGGCTGCTGAGTGCTGAAATGGAATACGCATAACCAGGTCCAATATTTTTCTGGAAGTGAATAAGACCAGCCGGGAACACAAAAAGATCACCCTTGTTGAGTACTTTCATAATCAGGCGATTTTCAGGATTTGAAGTTACGAATCCTGCAATCAGGGTGCCTTCCAGGACGGTTAAAATTTCACTGGCCCTGGGATGATAATGGGGAGGGTTGATTCCCAATGGAGCAAAATCTGCACGAGCCACTGAGATGCCGAGAGTGTTGAGCCCTGGAACTCTATNTCAGGTTTTGAACCAAACACCGCATTGGCAATGGTAACAACTCCAGGATCTTGGCTGCTGAGTGCTGAAATGGAATACGCATAACCAGGTCCAATATTTTTCTGGAAGTGAATAAGACCAGCCGGGAACACAAAAAGATCACCCTTGTTGAGTACTTTCATAATCAGGCGATTTTCAGGATTTGAAGTTACGAATCCTGCAATCAGGGTGCCTTCCAGGACGGTTAAAATTTCACTGGCCCTGGGATGATAATGGGGAGGGTTGATTCCCAATGGAGCAAAATCTGCACGAGCCACTGATATGCCGAGAGTGTTGAGCCCTGGAACTCGATTCACAGTGATCCGGTTGGCGAAAGAACCGAAAGGATTTGATGTGTTTCTTCTCAAGTGAAGGCCACTGATGTGGAAATCTTCTGCTTTAACCAGCTTTGGATCCTTGCAAACAAAGCCATTTACCAGCACTGCCATGCACAGAGCAGCAAATGATCAGCATATAACTACTGAGAGCATAATTAACTAGGACAATATATAATGAAAATTTTTATATATACATACTCAATCTTGGTATAGACATCATGAGGTTTTTAACGTGTGGACCAATGATTGGACACTATCTTCACATGTAAAATCAAAAGCCAACGACCAATCACTCACCTTCAATCCACATGTTAAAAACTTCAAGATGTCTGCATCGAAGAATTTTTATATATCGGTAATTCTCTTATCAAGATTATTCTAATATAATTGTATTAAGATCATTATTAGTACCGCTAGATTTTTATTTGTAAAATATAATTTCTATCTAATGAGTGAATTCAACAATATTCAAATATAGTTCTTATATAATTATATCAAAACCATTTTAACTCGAGATTTATGGTATGCGTGTCTATATATATAACATATTTTTTAAATTATGTTTAAAAACACGCATTCAACTAGGTATGTTTTCATATACTTTTTATATAGATCCTTATTTAAGAAAACAAAGAAATTTATATATAATTTTACATCTAACCGGCATGGAACTCAAATGATACCTGGGCTGTCGAGGTCTGCGACGCAGAAATCCTGAAGAGGGCTATGATCCGATGCAAATGCAACAGAACAAATTAAAGAAATGAGTAATAACAGGAGAATTCTGGCTGCCATTCGAAGCTAATGTTGTTTTATATTGCTTAGCTATATATTCAGATTGGTTTGATGAATGAAGATGAAAGAAATGCCATCTTTTTATAGGTGAGTGAGCGAAAGCGTGCATGAAAGAGGGTCAAAGATGCCGTCCGTGGCTGTAAAATAATATTCATCTTTTTCTTGGTACGCATTCGCATAACCAAAAAATAATATACTTTAGTTAACCAATTTACTGTACCAAGTGTTGCTTATTCAAACCATACAATAACAGATTAATTCTCTTAAACTGAATGCTGAAGTAAGATTGATTTGTTCTTTTTCTGTGACATTGTCGATGCAATACATGTGGAGACTGGGGAGATTGCCAAAGTTAAAAGAAAAAAAAAATATATTTAGGAACAAGAAAGAAGGATGTTAAGCATAGGAGTTTGCTTCTATTTTCCTTGAAGTTCACTCAAAATTTCAGCTTCATGTGTTACATATCTTGAATTCTTTGATATCAGATATGAAAATACATATGATTTCTACATAATATAAGTGATGAAATCCAAAAAAGCTTTAAGCATGTAAAGATATAAACAAATTTCTGTATTTTCTTGAATTTACAATAGCTTTAAAGATTGTATCTAGCTAGAAATACTTTTGAATACATCTCAATCAAATAAATTTTAATAAAATTTATCTTTTCCTACTTCTAAAATAAAATTTTTAAACAAAACAAAACCTCAACACTCCCAAAGTTTCTTGGAAATTTCTATGTGCACAGTTGCTAATTAAGCAAAACTACACAAAACTACAAAGAGATTTATACAAAATTGAGTGAGTTGAAGCAGTCCTCGGTTTCAGTTTGTACTTATTATAATACAAAATAGACTATAGCTATATAGTAAAGGAATTAATCAGTCTCAGATTCAAGCAGATAAGCTCAAATTACAGCTTCTTAGTTCCCACTTGAGAGTTGAGACTTGGTATTTCTTGAAGAGGTCATCAAAAAGAATTTTTGAAGAGGTCTTGAGAAGCATTTTTTTATTGAGATAGATGGGAGAATTATAATACAGTACTAAACTTATACATCACCTGAAAATCTTGGTCAAATAATGAACATAAATATTTATAATTAAGAAGCATCATCTTTAACTTTAATGATAAAGTCTTGGCATTTTAGATTTTAGTTAGAGTCCATTCAGTCTATAAAATTTCACAACATCAAATATAAGTTCCATCTGTGACAGAGCATCTCCTTCCCTTAGAATAATAATTCTACGAATGGAAGAGATCTCAGTGGTGCTTCATTTAACTCAAGAAGCCAATCACACAAACTTCCCATCAATACTTTTTCGATGAATACCCATTAAATAATACAACTGATAATGTTATATAACAAGCTGCCTCATTTCATCCTATGCCCATTACAAACCAACAAAAGCTATACATGCAACTACACAGTACAAGCATCCATCATTCAAATTAAAAAGTAAAGCAGTCACAACATAACCCATCTTCACATACATACCCACATTATATTACATACATACACATCAACATGCCAATCAATCTAAGTTGACCTCTCAACAACAGAAACATAAACCACTCACCGAAAGAGAGCCAGCAAGATACAGATTTCTGACAAACTGAACATACGGCAAATAACATGACACCTCAACCTGCAATTTCCTCTTCTTCCCCCTCATATTCCTCATCGTCGACAGTTGCATCCTGATACTGCTGATATTCTGCCACCAAATCATTCATGTTACTCTCAGCCTCAGTGAACTCCATCTCATCCATTCCCTCACCAGTGTACCAGTGCAAGAAAGCCTTCCGCCTAAACATAGCTGTAAACTGCTCGCTAACCCGCCTAAACATCTCCTGGATTGAAGTTGAGTTTCCAATGAATGTGGATGCCATTTTGAGACCCTTAGGAGGAATGTCACATACACTAGACTTGACATTATTCGGGATCCACTCAACAAAGTATGAAGAGTTCTTGTTCTGGACATTAATCATTTGTTCGTCTACCTCTTTTGTACTCATCTTACCACGGAACATGGCTGAAGCAGTGAGGTAGCGACCATGACGTGGATCAGCAGCACACATCATGTTCTTGGCATCCCACATCTGTTGGGTTAGTTCAGGGACAGTAAGAGCACGATACTGCTGTGATCCTCTTGATGTCAAGGGTGCAAAACCAACCATGAAGAAATGAAGACGCGGGAATGGGATAAGATTAACAGCAAGCTTCCTAAGGTCAGAGTTCAGCTGCCCAGGGAAACGAAGACAGCAGGTGACACCACTCATAGTAGCAGAGATGAGATGGTTAAGATCACCAACTGAGAACGCATAAAAGAAAAAAGTACAGCACAACGGTCAGCTCCTATGTCTTTCAGACTATCTTAACAAATGGGCCATTAATTACTTTGATAAGATAGAGACGCACAAAATCAGATTATTTTTATCAGAATACTACAATATAGAAGTGATTATTATTTTACGAAAGAGTACATGAAGTATAAATGTCATGTTCTTCTTCATTTGAAGGCAAAAAGAAAAAGGTAGGCACTAGGCATGTAGGACTAGAGAAAGAACAGCAAGATAGAGACTTCACACCAACCACTTTTCAGTAGCTACCTGAAGAGAAAAAGACTAACAAGCAGCATTTTCATATATGAATAGGACTATTGAACTCACTTGAGAACCACATATTTAATTAAAGGATGAAAATGCTTAATCCAATCATGTACATGAGATTTTGAATAGCCAGAAAAACACGTTATAAAGTTATCAACAACTCCGCTTTAGCTGCCCTGGAAGAGAACTGAAAATTTTCAATTAACTCAATAGAAATGAGAATGAAATTCTTGACTTACAAGTTGGGGTAGCAAGCTTGAGAGTCCGGAAACAAATATCATAAAGAGCTTCATTATCCAGCACCATACATTCATCAGCATTCTCAACAAGCTGATGAACAGAGAGGGTGGCATTGTATGGCTCAACAACTGTGTCAGATACCTTGGGTGAAGGAAAGACTGAAAATGTTAGCATCATGCGATCAGGATACTCCTCCCTGATTTTCGATATAAGAAGGGTTCCCATGCCAGAACCAGTTCCTCCACCCAAAGAATGACATACTTGAAATCCTGTAGAAAAATTAACAAGTCAGATTTGAAACAGACGGAATCCTAGTATATTGCATTAGATTGGAGAAAAAGCCACAAGATTGACAAAAGCCCACAAACTCTAAGAACGAAAATGTGAAAGAACATAATTTTCTTGTCAAAGTATCCAAAAAAAATAAAGAAACCAGAGCGACAATTAAATTACAAGACAAAAATTTGACAAAAGGACAAAGCAGCTGCTATTTTAAAAAGAGAACTACATATTTTAGCCAAAATATTTGTTAGATAGCATTAACCAATAAAAAACTTTAGGCCTAACCAAATCCTGCTATATATTTCAACAACTTCCCATTCCAGTACCGGATTCATACGAAAAAAAAATGTCTAAACCCCAAAGAAATCCACATCACAACATAAGAGTAAGCGCATTTCACAATGCATCAGGGATGTTTCAAGTTTTACTTTCAATCAAAAAACAGCTGACTAAAACAAAAAGGAATCCATTTGCAAAGTGTAGCTAGCTTCATCTACGACAAATTTCAAGGCAAAAATACAGTGACAAAAACTAACCAATATGTAACAAAATTTTCAGATCCAGACAAACTTTAAAATAAACAAATATATCAAAAGAAAACAAAAGAGAAAGCAGACACCACAACCACAACCAGCCAACAAAACTTACACATAACAGACCATGAATCTAATGTCACAGAAATAATTGCAAAAAGAATAAACATTTTCACAATTAAACAAAAAATAACCAAGAAAAGAACTTTTAATTAGAATTTCAACAATCTTAATTCACAAACTTCCATTTCAAAACAAAGAATCTCAAATTTCAAGATCAAGCAAACCACAAAACAAAGTTCAAAAAACAAGCCAAGCCCACATAGACCCAATGAACAGTTTAAATTACCCTGCAAGCAATCACAATTCTCAGCTTCTTTTCTGACAACATCAAGAACAGAATCAATCAACTCAGCGCCTTCAGTGTAATGACCCTTAGCCCAATTATTCCCAGCACCCGACTGCCCAAAAACAAAGTTATCCGGGCGAAAGATTTGACCAAACGGCCCGGATCTGAGGGAGTCCATAGTACCCGGCTCCAGATCCATGAGAACCGCTCTGGGAACGTACCGGCCCCCACTGGCTTCGTTATAATAAACGTTAATCCGTTCAAGCTGAAGATCGGAGTCGCCACTGTATTTCCCGGTTTGGTCAATCCCATGTTCGTCGCAGATGACTTCCCAAAACTTGGCTCCGATTTGGTTGCCGCATTGACCGCCCTGGATGTGGAGGATTTCTCTCATGGTGGTTTTATTGGTGTAGGTGGGTGTTTGGTTCTCGGGAAAATTTGGAGGCAAGTAGGAATGGGAGGAGAGGGAGAGTGAGGATAGGCAGGTGTCGGGAGACTTATTATTTGTTTAATTAACTAATTATAATTGTTTATATATAAAGGTAGGATTTTGGGGATTGGGTTTATATTTAGTTCAAGTACGAGTTGTTGTAACTGATTTCTCGAAACTAACAGAACTTAAGATAACACCTGAGATTTGTCTGTAAATATTTGGAAAGTCAAAAGTCAACCTGATTTATCATTTATCTTGGGTAATTATGCGTTAATCATACCCTTGATCAGATTAAGGTTTCTAAATTCAATTTAAATGATAATTTTTATAGTTCTTATCAAATAGACCTTAAAGGTTTAGTAAATTGCATTATTGATACTTCTTCACCCTTATTTCGTAAATTTGATCCTATAAGAAAGTTCAGGGTAAAATGTAACTTTGATTTTATATATAAAAAATAATAATAAGTGTTTCATAAACCTAACAGCAATGTAATAAAATTAAGAGTGAACGACTTTTTCCTATCCAAAAAATGACTTAATGGTTCTTTACCATCCTCAAACTTTTAAAATATTACTTTTCCAACCAAAACACAAATTTTGTTATTTTCCTTTAATATATAATATTGATTACAAATGAAAGACCCCCACACATTTCAACCCTAATCGCTAGTCACCGCAAATCAACTTTTGTGCATGATTCCGGTCAACTCCAACCACCACATCCGACACTCTCCAACCAAACTAATCTTCGACCATCCCTCTTCAATACCCTAACAACTCTGGACCCTGATAGCTCTCCAATAGTCAGCGACCAGTTCAATTTTTTATTGAATGTTCGACGTTTGATGAACGGTGATCAACTAAGGTTTAGGATGATGGGGCTTTTAGAGAGAGTTGTTGTTGATACTACAGTGGCTTTTAGGTGGAATTTTTTCTGCACCAATCGGCCAGAATTTGGCCTGGAAGCTCAACAGTCGTGCGAACAAAAAACTAGCGGTTGTCGGCGATTGGTGTGCTCGGTGTGGTGGGAAAATGAGGGGTTTTTATGTGTGAAGATGGGAAAGCTAAGGGTAGAGTCTACGCTGATCAATGACGCCGGTATTGTGTCGAACTACCTGAACTAGGCTAAACCAACAGCTAGGGTTTGGGAAAGTATCTTGCCAAAAAGGAAATATGACCATTTTGCCCTTACTTTTAACTGGATTTTTACCATTCTACCCTTCTTCACAATAAAAATTACTAACAAATTTCTGTTTTGGGTGGAAAAGTGATATTTTACAAGGCTAAGGGTGAGAAAGTGTCATTCAGCGATTTTTTGGGTGGGAAAAAGTTGTTAACTCTAAAATTAATGTAAAAGAATATAAGTGATAAAGTTTATAAACTTTAAGTGTCTATTTAATAAAAATGTAAAAGTCGTTTTACGAATGATAAATTTGAAAATGTAAGGGTAGTTTATTTTTATTTTTTATTAGAACAGTTCTATATATCGTTTTTAGAACTTTATTGAAATGTACTTACGAAGCGACCCTCCATAATTATTAAAAAAAATTGACAAATCTACTCCTTAAATTACAAAAATCTTTAAAAAATCGTCAAATCCCAAGCAATCTAACGAATTTAGAAAACTATTAAATATTTCCTACATCAGAGGTTTTTTATATTTGTAGGAGTCCTTTTTAGATATTCATATGATCTTTTTTGGGTTCTTTGTATTCTTAAAGGAGTTTTTTGGTAAATTCAAGGGGCATTTAATAAGGGTGAGCACAGATAGCGGGTAGAACCAGAACCTATCGGTAGAACCAAAATTAGAACTGGAATCTACCTGGAACTGACACTATGCGGGTAGGTTCCGGTTCTTTTTTTTTTGAACCAATACTGTGCGGTTCCGATTTTGATTCCTACATGTGGAGGAACTGAAACTGGAACTGGAACCTAGAAAAAAGAACCTACAGCGGGTACTCGGCTTGGAACCTGCAGCGCGTACCCGGCTTGGAACCTGCAGCGGGTATCCCGTTTTGGAATCTGGGTTAAAATAAATATGTGTGAAGAATGGGGGGTCTATATAAGTTTACAAATAAAAAAATTTAAAATGGAAAAAGTTAAATTTTTACAATAACCTAATTAAATAAATATACAATTCTACTTATTTCATATAAACTACACCATATAAAAAACTTTAATATATTATACTATATTAATATTAAAGTTTTGATTAATTAAGTGTATAATTAGAATTAGGACCAATTAAAAGTGTTTTAATGTTATTAAAAGAATTATTTTGGAATAAAATAATATATTTGATTGAATAATAATATAATATTTAATTATTTACTTAAATTATTAAGTTTTAATTATATCATTACATTATACTGATTATAGTTAAATGATTATTTAATTAATTATAAGTTTATAACATTACATTAGTAATTTAGTACATTACTTAATTAAATAATTAAAATTTTAATTAATTATAACATTATATTATAGATTTATAGTATAATTACTTACTTAATCATAACATTACATTATAAACAAATTATTATTTAATTAATTATAACCTTTTATTATAATTACAATACTTAATTAATTATAATATTATATTAAATATTTATATTATGATTACTCAATTCATTATAATATTAAATTATAGTATGATCACATAATTAAATGATTGCTTAATTATCTATGACATTATATTATAAACATTAGTAATTTATTACATTAGCACAATACTTAATTAAATGATTAGAAATTTAATTAATTATAACATTACATTATAAATTTATAGTATGATTACTTAATTAATTATAACATTACGTTATAAACAAATGATTACTTAATTAAATAATTACTTAAATAATTATAATATTTCATTATAAACATTAGTACAATATTTAATTAAATTATTATAAATTTAATTAATTATAATATTATATTAAAGATTTATAGTATGATTACTTAATTCATTATAACATTATATTATAGTTTGATCACGTAATTAATTATAACATTACATAATTAAATAACTACTTAATTAATTATGACATTATATTATAAATATTAGTAATTTCTTATATTAGCACAATACTTAATTAAATGATTAGAAATTTAATTAATTAAAACATTACATTATAATTAAATAATTACTTAATTAATTATAACATAACATTATATTATAATCACTTAATTAATTATAACATTAAATAATTAAATGATTACTTGATTAATTATAAATTTATAACATTACATTATAAACATTAGTAATTTACTATATTAGTACATTACTTAATTGAATGATTAAAAATTTAATTAATTATAACATTACATTATAGATTTATAGTATGATTACTTAAGTAATTATAATATTACATTATAAACATTAGTACAATACTTAATTAAATGATTAAAAATTTGATTAATTATAATATTAAATTATATATTTATAGTATGATTGTTTAATTAATTGTTTGTGTTTTGGTTTTGATTGAGAAATTTTATGTGAATTGTGATGAATTGATTGAATTCAAGTGTTGCCTAAAGATTAAAGGATTTATAAGTCACATTAGACACAAATGAATGAGTAATCAAAATTTGTTAGGGGTGTATTTGTAAACTTTTAAGGTATTTTTGTTATTTTTCAAATTAATAGAGGGGTAATTGAATTTTTATAGGATACCTGAGAAAGGAATTAGAATTTGCATTTTAGGTTCTGGTTCCTTGAATTTAAGAACCTGCACTGTGCGGTTCCAATTCCGATTCCTTTTTTTAAGAACTTACACTGTGCGGTTCCGATTCTGATTTTCCTAAAAAATATAGAATACCCAGAACTGCTCACCCCTATCATTTAATAGTTTTCAAAAAAAATTGGGCACTTAAGAATTAGTATCTCCCACAGATGGATGAGAATAACCCAGCACTCGGCAGTGGAGCATAATCAAGGCTAGGCCAACTGGGCAGGCCAAGCTGTAGCGAGGCCGGGTTTTTAAAATTTATAAAACTTATGACAAATATACTATTTAATGCCCCGTTATTTGTACTATTACATTTCCCCCCCTACTTACTAGTTTCACATTTTTGTATTATCTTTCAACATTTTTATCTTTCCTTCTCACTTTCTTTCTCTTTCATACGAGAAATACTTACTCAACTTTGTATCCCAACTTTTATATTTTTAATTGATATTGCACCAATTTCTTATTAACATATTAAATTGTTAATAACTATATTATTTATTTTTCAACATATCAACTTGGGAGAAAAAAACTTTAGATCTATAGTATTATTCATCATAAAATTGATTTGTATTCTGTGCTGTTATTATTACTTCTCTCTTAAAGATCAAATTAAACAGCTTGGATTCATAATATAAGTTTCTAATCTAAACAAAATATTTAAACTTATGGTTTTGTGGGATTTTTTTTGGGATTTTTTTTTTTTTAAAGTTATGCATTCTAATTTTAATTATTGATATTTTTAAATATGCATTTTAATTTATTAACTTTCTATTAGTGAACTTTTCTCATATATCTCGCAAAAAATATATATTTGTCCTAGTCTTAAAAAAAAAAAAAAAAAAAACCTGGTACATCCTTAAATTTACCCTTTAACGTACATTATAATTTTTTTTGTTAGAAGGTTTACTTTAGAAAAAAAAAAAAAAAAAAAAAAAAAAAAAAAAAAAAAAAAAACAATTTTATGCTTTGTAGTTATTTATTTTAAAATCAATTATATTAAATGTTGGTGCAGCGGCCAAATGAGTTGACTTACGACTTAGTTTCGGATTGCTGTAGTTTCTCCCTTTTCAGTTTTGGTGAAACTTGATGAATAATGAGTTTTTGTTATAAGTTTTCAAGTGTCTTGTTTTGTTTAATTTTTAAATTAATTTTACTTTTAGAAAATGATATATGACAAATGTAAAAGGACAAAAATAGGTTTTTTTTTTGTTAAATAATTTTTTATTATTAAAATATATTGAGAATAGTTTTTTTTAAAAATATAAATATAAGCTAACATGTTAATTTGTGATGTGAGGCACTAGAGGTTGCCTAACACCGTCGCCGAAGAAGTAAGTCAGTAATAGAGGTTGAAAGCTTTTGCA